TAGCTGTGTCCGAAATTATTAACTTTTTTAAAGAAATTCTATCAAAGTAAACACCATTATACTCCATTGTACTACTGTCTTTTCCGTTTTAAGGGCACGTGATTACAACCGTTATTTCGGTAGCAATAAATATTTTTTATTTGTACATATTGTCTGCAAGACGCGTATGTTCGAACCGGTGTGTGCTTTTCTAATAACACTTTATCATTTTAGCACCAACTAGGCGAACCACACCACAACGCCAACGCCACAGGGAATACGGACAGCTATATCTTTGATTTTATTCGATTTTCATTAAAATCTAGACCAAACTGAACAGATATTTGCATTGAAGGTTTGACAAAAAATGTGTCGAGAAATTACAGGGAGTGCATATTCACTAGTTGAAGATTTTATAGTCCGGTCGACGCTTCTCTCCCACTCAGCAGAGTCTGGTCGTCGTTATTTAAATTCCTTCCTTTATAATCATAGCGTGAGATAAGGAGATGGATGAAAAAGTGATTTTTGCAGAACTGCGCGGTGACAATGACATGATTCATAAGCATTTATTAAGCAGAGGGTTGAGGACAATGTCACTTTGTTTACTTGAAGAATATGTATCTTTAAAAGGTTTCATCCATTATAATTTTTTAGATGGTACGATAATAATTTCCAACAGAGTTATGTAATTTCGGGGCATTGTCTGCCCCCCTCGAACTGCAATGACTAAAAACGAGCATTGCAAAGTTAAATGACACAGCGTGGTGTACAACTTGAACTATTTGAATTCAATTAAAGTTTGACTAAACCATTTCTTCGAATTAGACATGGACACAGTAATTGTAAAAATATGACATACTTTTGTCAAGTTGGTCTTTGAACCTGTGAGGTGTGGCTGGCTGCAATTTCCATGCTCAATTGTGTCATACATAAAACGTGAATAGCATAAATCGAGTTCTTTTCGTTTGCTCCAACTTGAAAATGTTTAATTATGGCATTGGTAAACTTGATACACGACGATCAAGTAATAAATTCTGAAATTGTCAGTGTCTCATAAGATAAAATAACAAAACTTAACAAAAAACACTTCAAGTTTTTCTGCAAATCTTTTTGTGGAACTTATGCTTTGAATTGGCATTAGACACCACAAATTACATATCAGTATCATGGAAATTATTATCGGCTCTGAGCATCAAGAGTCGTGCAGTGGATATTAATGTTGGAACACATACTTATCAAAAGTACCAACTTGGTAGAAAATTAGTTTTATACGCAAAAACTCAGAATTTGATGACAAGAAATGCAGAGCACATGTTTTTATGAGCAAAATTTTGGTGTAACGGTATCAATATTCCACTCAGGTAGCTTTCATGAAGGAATGAATATGCTGGGTAACCACCATCATACTTATTGTTATGCTTACACGAGAGGACAAAAGTTTGATGCTGAATTAATTTGCAAAAATCCCACGCAAGCACATTTCATTCGTTCACTTAAAATTGACTATCAACCTTAATTTTAAACAACTTTAATCTTGAGATTATCTTTTGCCAGGTGAAGAATTTTAAGTTGTATCCTAGATCTAAATTCTACTTCCATCTCGATTCTCCCGACGACCTACCTACCTGTCCATCAGCAAAATATTTCTATTGACAGATTCGTCACACCCCAATCACTTTACCAGCAATTGTACTACAGCAATCCGTCCGTGCTGTTCTGTACATTCCCACTTCCCACCAGCATTGCTGAGCTATTTTATGGCCTGGGTATACATAGCATGGCTGACATTTCCACATCCACTCATCAGATCGGATCACACTTCATGGAATAATAAGGTGCGTGAAATTTGACCAAGAAGTTGTCAACTTGAATTTGGATGCAGTGCAGCATGAAGTGTTGAATAAGATGTAATCTTAATGAATCCCATGCAAAAGTTCATCTTAACAGCTAGATTTATATGCATACATGCCCTCGTGTATATCTGCGCTGTTTTGCATTTTGTTATTCATCCAGTCACCGTGAAAATCAATTTAAACTAGCAATTTGATAAATTCTCAATACCAACAGCAATATACAATGTGCATACATATAAACTTATGTTTGACCGACATTTTCAAGGAGAGAAACAACCTTAGAATGCTTTTCTAAATTACATCAGATTTGGTGGGGCTTGCTTCCTGTCAATTAATTGATCACTTTATATTATTTCGTTTGTGTTCAGATAATATGAATTATAATGCCGTGTTAAAGTTGTTTACAATTTTCGTCCAGCTTGAATTTTAAAATTGTCACCATCAAAACTTGAGGAATTCAGCAATGATATGTCATGTCACCAAATTGACATGGGTACGATATATGCATACATTTTGTGCATATGTATAGAGTGCTAGTTTTATTCTATTTACAATTGTCACTTTCAGTTAAACACCGTGTAATTAGTGCTACGTATGATATATTTACATATGCACTTATCCTTTGTGCAATTCTAACTTGACTATTATTATACATGAGAAAATAAGTTTGGCATTAATATAACTCAAGAAATTGTATGTAACCTTATAATTGGCTATTATCACGTTCTACTAATTTCCTAAGTGTTGTTGGCGTCATTATGCTCCACTCTTAATTTTTGATGGTATCAGCATGCATTGGTCGGAGTTTTAGTTTACATACATATTAACACAAAGTATGTACATATACTTTGACGACAATCAATTTTCGTTGATCAATGCCCGATTTTTGCTAACATTTTCTTCAGAGGCTTGGAACATGCCATTAAAATTTTGCAAGTCCATATGACCTCAATATTTTATCACATGTAAAACAGCATTTGCTTGAATAAACCCAAATTCTTATCGTTGATTTTAAATTCCATTGGTTGAAATAATTTTCGATGAAATGTCGCATAAATTATTATTTTCTCTTTCAAAGTTTAATTGATATTAAACGGCACGACAAAGCAATTCCATACTGTTTGGCCCTTATTGTTGCTCCTGTAGCCCATGGTGTCTATTATGGTGTCAGGTCTCGGTGACAAATGTGCAGCAGTAAGTCTAATTTTATGTCACGTTGTGTCAAGATAGATCATTTGAAAGGATGCTCACAATTTATGTTACAACGCACGTCTTTAAGAATGCACTACTATTATATTTATTATTTGGGTTCGGTCTGCTAATCAAATCAAGATTTGGTACAAGCAATAAGAACATGAAGCATAAATCGGTGACTTATGATTTTTGTGTCACGTTGCGATTATTTACCCAACGTGCCGTGTATCTGATCTGATGCCTGAGATAAAAAACATTATATAGAACATTGACAAGAATTTAAAACTGTTTCTTTACTTGGACTCCATTTATTTCAAATAACACTGATCCGTATTACGCAATCAGTAATTTCAAGTTATTAATAAATAGATATTCCCCTCAATGTCCATTGGGAACAATTTATTTCTTACTAAATAAATTTTATCCATCATCATATGCATACTCATTGCAAGACAAGAATCTTCAATAGAAGCCTGCAAATGGAATTGAGCTGTAGTTTTGAACAGCTTTCTGCAGTACAGAAAATCTCACAAGTCTGTTATACGTCAATAATGAAAATGTTGAAAATCGTCAAATCTTTTATTAATGAAAAAATCAATTTTCTTAGACCTGCGAGTCTTTCGCCATATTGTTAGTATATTTCTAATGTGCTTTTTGTATATTCAAAAAGTGAGTGAATTAACTACGGCGGTGGGACCATTAAATAGTAATTCTGGTACACCCATTGACAAATGCATACATATCCGCCAATTAAAAATTAATTTCAAAAAGAGTATGACAATTAAACTAATTGCAAAAAAGAACAGAAATTAAAAAAAAATCAAGGCAAACAATTTCTACCGGGAGGCTCACTAGCTAATCAATTTTTGGAGATATCAAGGGTAGCACACATTATTCACTCGGTCAGTAGGATAAGAATATTTTCTACAGTACATGCACAAATAATACTAAGAAGTTATCTATTAATTTTCTGAAATTTCTCAGCTTGACGTTTGTATCTGTGATTCTGTAATATTTTTGAAGCTTAATTTAACAGATTTTGGTTCAAATCTTAAGGAATGTTCTAATGAACTATTTTATCTTATTGTTGAGCCTTCACAGCCTAACGATTTAATTAATATCTTTCTACCTTCACTAATGAAGGAAACATTTTTTTCGGAATATAGTTCTAACCGTTAATCATGCATGTTGGTGTAAAATGGTTACATACATATTTAAATATATCGCACATGAGTATACATGCCACAAGAATCCATAATTTAATTGGTAGAATCAAGCACCACTAGGAAATCAGGCATATTTTTATAGCAACAATTTCATATAAATGTTCATTGTTCTTGACCACAAACGCCGAAATAAGATACTACGTAACAAAAAGCCACCGGCTCTTTTTCCTGTTCGTGTAAAAATAAGACAAATTTAATTATTGTCATCATTTCTAAATACTAGTGGCACAAAATCAGAAATCATAAAATAGTACATTTCGGAGATGTTCTACATCTGTCAACAGGCGGAGAAATAATTGGTTGAAAAATTTTCAACGTTACGCGTATTCGTTATGCGAATTTTTACGTCTATGCATTTTGGTTTTTGTGACTTCACTTTATAAGATTCTTGGGATGATGTCAAAGCTATCTAATTTATTTTATAATACTATGCTTGCGTACTTTTGTAGGGATTCAAAGGAAATTCACACAACGGCACCAAGATTTAAATATTCGTGAAATTATTAAATGTGTTTGTTTGTGGATTTTACTAAATCTTATTCCCATTGCATTATAAAATATTCCACCACTACAAATTGAAAATTGTAGAAAGCACAAGTAAGCTCACAAAAAATGCAATCCTTCATCAAAAGAAGATGACAATTCATTCTCATGCATATGCATTCAACCCATCTTTGTGCAAATATTTGGGCACAAGAATATTAAATCAAAAGCAAATTTCACCTCAACTTATGTATTTGTTTCATACCTTGAATCGATGCGGTGGGTGTCATTAAGCTGGTAGCCGACATTTTTATTGTGCTGCTTTGTTGCTTAACGTTGTCCTCTTCAGAGAAATGACAATGTTTCCCTTGCGGCTTCTCGATTATCGAGCTTTTCTCACACGGCCTCCCACCACTACTCCCAATAGTCAACTTGCTATCAAAATTTTCCAAATCAAAGCTAGTGGCAGAGCAGCAATAACAATCAGTTCCGCTCTTTTGTGCAGACGCTGATGAAGACAAAGCGTCGTTTCTCGGTTTCCCTTTGTCTTTGGGAGTGTGGTGAGTAACAAGAACACTGCTGTCATCCAAATGCACAGTTCCCTTTTTCAGAGACCGGTACCAATCTGCCCAGTTCAAGCAACCGAGATGAGAAGAAGGCTCATCAGGATTTGTGGTGCTTTGAGTACTGCTGAGATTCTCCGCAATGTGTGAACCTTCTTGCTCTTTCTCGTCAATCAGGACCGGATACGAGGTTGGGGTAGATTGGGTGGAATCAATGACACTGATTGTGAGAATTGATTTTTTTCTGGTCTGCAAATCAATATGTGGGAAATCCGTCAAATTGATGAACTCTTTCTGATTTCGAGATATATCTCCTTCGGTTTGATCTTTATCCACGCTCACGTTCGTAATAAAGTTGTTGCTAACTTGCTCCTTTTCCTCGACGACGACACTGCTACTGTTCACGTTCGTGTCTTGGGTGTCAAGACTTTGAGACGCGTAGGACAGAGTAATTTTCTTCGCAGGTTTTGCCTTGGAGGTGGCTCGAGGAGGTCTGCAAGGTGGATTTTGTTGGGCTGCCGTTGAAATGAATCTCTGCTGCTGCTGCCGTCGACTCTCACTTTCCTCCTCAGAAGATGAAGAAGAAGAGTTGGAAGAATTGGTACAAGAGTAGCAAGAATCTTCTGATGCAGAAATGGGCTTCTTCTTATTATTAGAAGTAACAGGGTTAGTAGTTACGGTGTCCTCCTTGGCAAAAATAATAACCTCCTCACAAGTTGAATCCATGCTAAATCCACTCTCCGTCTCAGAATCTTCAGATTTTGCAGACAACTCTGCATTATTTCCGTTACTCATCACCTCTTTGTCGTCCTTATCACTGTTCATATCAACATCGGAACTCCCACTATTCGAGGGAGAATTAAGCCCTATGTTGGCATTTGCATAAATTGAGCAGTGCTTGGATTTTTCCTTTGTTAGGGATAAGTCAACTTGTGACACAAAATTTTTGGTAGCGAGAAAAGATTGCAAAGATGAGACAATATTTGTGGAAGCATTAATGTGAGCGTTGTCATCAGATTCTCGTCTTGTTCTCAACGATCTATTCTCGATATTTTGGCTCTGATTCCGTTTTAGCAGCCTTGTAGTTGGGGTTCCAGACTTTTTGCCTCGTTTGTCAAGTCGAAGATATATGTCGTCCACTTTGGATATTAAGTCGTCGGAGTTTATGTTTACATCATCAAAGTCAAGATTGTTCAAACTGCAGGCCGAGTTGTTGCTCAACTCCCCAAAGCTAAAACTTTGGCTTCGACCACCTACGACGATCTTTTTAGAAAGATTAGCCTTTGCTTGCTGTGCAACCTGAGCTGCAAAATTAGCCATACCAAGTCTGATATTGTTGTTGGCTTTATTACTTTCGATGTTGTTATTGTTGTTGTCGTCAATTACAATTTCCGGTATTATCCATTGATTTGAAATTTTTACATGATCCAAATTTTTTGAAGCAGAATCATAATTTTTTGTTGCTTGCTGTTTATTAGCAAAGTAGTAATCTTTACCATCTCTATTCGAATTTGGAGAAAAATCTGCATATTCAACTCGATTGTTTTGTGGTGCATTAGAGAATGAGGTGGATCGATTCAATTCTCTGTTAACTGGTAGCTGGTACACGTTCTCGCCTACGTTATAGGTTGGAAGTAAATTAAGTCGAACTTTCTTTGGGGAAAGTTTCGGTTTCAAAAGGGAATCCATGTCGGTATCATCTGCACCTTCAAAGACTTTGGATTTTTCTCTAATTTCTTCGTAGATCGGTTCAGTAGTTTCGTGGTGCTTGTCTTTTCTGTTACTGAAATTCTTGAAATAGTTGAGGATAATTTCCTTACGTTTCTCTAAAGTAGGGCAGTTCCAAGAAACATTTAAAAGGGGATTAGACCGAGATAGCTTAACGGAAGGACAATTTTCCAATTTTGGAGGACTCGGTATGCGAACAGGTATGGACTTATTCATGTCCATTCTTTTCAGACTGGATGGGGCAGGATTTGACTTTGTTCTTTGCAGAGTTGATTTTCCTGTAAAATTCCCAATGTTTCTGGTGTCCATCCTTTCATTTAATGTCCCTTCAGTAGTTTGAATGCGAGTAGTCGTGGTGGGTTCATAATGAAATGTCGAATGACTGGATTTGGAGGTTTTTAAAATTCCTTGAGGTCTACCATCAATCATGTTATTTCTCGATTGTGCAGTCGGACTGCAACTCCTTGCACGCTGTATTTGATTCTTATTTGCTTTATCAGCAAAGATAACCACACGACCAAATGCAGGCCGCGAGTTATCTCTCCTCTTGTTCTCCACTAATTGAGGGATGGCAATTGGAATCAAAGGAGTACTTTCGTCATCTGAGTCTTCTTCCTATTACATGAATAAACAACATGATTACGGTTACGTATAAAGGTAAAACCTGCATTTGTATGTACATATGTATCTACGTATGTAAATAGGTACATATATCTAGCATATGCGTATATTCTCTGGTTTCCTAATATGCATGCACTGCCGTATTGCAATAACAACTCGTAAAAAGCTCAATTAGCACCCAATTATCAGTGTGAATGAAATAAAGAGAAATGAAACATGGAACAGTAGAAAAAGAATGTGACGCGATTATTTACGACCATTCCTCTAATTCAAACATGTGACAAATAGCATGACAAACACGAGCAAGAGAAAGCTCTCTGTTAAAAATAAAATTGACTTTTGCTTTTCGAAAATTAGTGCTAGTGTTTAAGAAGCTATGCTAACGCTCAGCTTGGACGATACTTGTCAAATAACGCTTGGCAATTGAATAAATCTACGCCAAGTTACCAATTACCTGTGAGATTGGCTTTAGTGGAAACACAAGGATGGATTTGTTCAGATTCATAATTTTGCTTGAATTATCGTTGCCCGTTGGGCAAATATGAATTATTTTGATTTTACTTTTTGAATTAGCTAAAAAATGTTCTGGTGGTCAGTCTTTACTTCGAATGTGTATGTACTGGTTTGGATGGTGGTGATATGGTAAAATATACTGATGTTTGCTGACAGGATGATAAGCATTGTTGGTCCCTTTTCGTGCAGAATTGAATTTATGATTTGTAATTTAAGAGGTAACAATTTGCAAATTATGTGCTAGCAGTAGCATGACCATTATTTGGTTCGCAAAAAATGCACTCATATCCAATGACTATCTTCCACCATTTTTGACTTCAAAAAATCTTTTATGTTTCATAAACAGAATGCATAAAACATATTTAATACCTTTTTCTAGCCTTCAGTATGGACCGTCTTATGAACTAACCAAGTCACCAAGATTCTACAGCCCAAGAAGTAACGCCATCAATCAACTCATTGTGGCATTATGGCTATTAATTTACACAAAGAAGCCGCTCAGCACATTCTTAAAATCATTTTAAATTCTCAATCTAGGAATCAGTTTGCCGAAGCTATAACCGCAGAAAGTCAATATTTGTACTTCTCAGTGTACCCGGTGTGAAATTCATGACGATTATGTATGCACAGGCAATGGCTATTTTTACTATTATGCATGACGACGAGTAACCGTCGAGTATCGTTTAGAGAAATTACGAAGGCTTGCAATGAAATAAATACAAATTAGCCGAACCTTTCCATAACCACGGCCTACCGAAGCAGTGGGTCCGGGGTCCAAATTCTCGTAAAGGTTTTGGTTCTCATATTGATAGCAAATCTGGTTCCTTGCAGGCTTATTATTCATTGCGTCATGACTGCTCGATCGCCGAAAAAGAAGTTGGCTTAACTTTTTTGACTTGTATGACATTTCGCACTGCTGCTGCTCTGCTGTTTTCTGATTTACCCTGCAAATAAATAAGTCAATATTATGCAAATCATTGTGACAGACATGGATTTATGATAAAGATTTCACTTTTGGCAGTTCACCCCAATTACATGTACAACAAATCCCCCAAACAATCAACAAAGCAATTTTATAACTCGGCTTCAAACATTCAGAGTAAGATAAGTATTTTCCTTTGATGTACGCAATATGAACAAGTAGCAGTAACCAAAACCATGATTCTGAACATGCATTGTTGTGCATATGATTGTTGTCATCATCATCTAAATCTCACACCACCAGCCAATCTGTGCAAATCAAATACAAACAATTCAATGCGTCGCTATTTTCAAATGGACGCAATGTGCATGCATTTTACACTTTTTAATTGAGGTGTGGATGCGGATTAATTGTACGTCATCGTCTTTGTGAAATACTTGCGTCGTACACAGAGTGATGTGGCGCAAGTGAGCTCGTGGTAATGGGTGCATCCCCACTTATGATATTTAAATACTCGTAAATTATGCATTGTTAAGTTGCACTTAATTGTGGCAATTCCTATTTAAACAGGGCTCACAATTATATGATATTTACAATGAAATTGTGTACAATTATCCACATTCAGACAAATGTACTGCAGGGTGTTGTAGTCAGTCAACATCGCATAAATAAATACATACAACTGGTGCTTGGTGAATATGAATGTATGTGTGTTGCGACATATTTCTGAACAAAAAGGTAGCTTGTAGAGGAATTTGCCACTTTTTCGCTTTGGTGCATTTCGATGATGAGTGGTTTAAATGTCTTTCTTTACACACAGAATGGAATTGAGGATGAGAACCCAGCTCCTAATATTACAAAAAGGACGCTTATTTTGTCATTTATTATGTTAGTAAATATATAACCAGTAAAACAACTGCGGTTGGCTGTGCTGGCTGCAAGATTTTTAACTTTGCTTACCATGTCGCAACATAAGGTTTACTTACTTCATACTCAACATAACTTAAATTTGTATTAACATAGATAATATATTTTTTTATGTCAAAAATATTGTTTCAAATATTCTGAGAGTTTTCTGGGATTTCACTCGTGATAATTTGCAAAGTTTGGTTCTATGTAAGAAGTTTTTTCATTACAAAACTTGAAACTCATGACAAGTACTCCCAAAGTATATAAATCTGTATCTGTAATCTGTAATATTAAGTTTCTATGATCTGTATGCACATTATATTGCGCAAATAGTAGTGAAATAGCGTGTAATAATAGTAGAAATGTCATATATAGCGTCAATATTTGCACTTCATCGACCTTGCCCTTGTTTTTTATAAAGTTGTCAGAAAATAGAGGTGAACCGAATCCATCGTTTTTGAATAATTAATTGGGAACAATTTGGAAGGACAATTGCGACACAATAATGATAATGTTACAGAGTATAAACATTGCTAAATTTTGTGAAATCTATGGACAGGGGGCCGCATTATTTATGACAAGGTTGTAGTGTTTCTCTCTCAATCTTTAAATTGTTTCCTGTTCCCTGCTGACACTGTCTTGTAACAGGTGAAGGTTACACATAATACAGTAAATATTTAGTGTGCATTTATAACAGAACTCTAGAATAGATCACTAGAAGATGCATTATGTTGTAGGAACGCGTAAAAATGATACCATTTGAACACGTTCCGTGTAATTTTATTTACCAGTTCCAGTCAGACACATATTTACACCTGGATTATAACAAGTCGATAAACTACACCCCACGGCATAAAAATATTAAGAGCATTATTTATGATAAGTAAAATAGAGCACATATCTGTAGAAATTTCCACACAAACTTGTATGCGTATTATATAAAATGTGCATCAAACAACCACATCATGATCATTAGAAAATTTTTTGTAGATTCGATTGTGCTTATAAAACAAAACCACTCGGCCGAATCCACGCTTCTCTCTCTCATTCATCAATCAAAAGGATTTAATCTGATTTGCTACGTTCATCCTCCGCCATCATTTGTAACAGTAACCATCTTCGAATTTCTTTTGCTTATCTCATCTTTCAAACTTGTAAAAACGCCCAAATGTGAAATTGGTCAAGAATTAACGCTTGGTCTTACATAAAACTACTGCAGGTTGTTGCAACCAACTGACCGCACGTTTGCTCAGGATGATAAATAATAAGTCGTACATAAGTAAGTAGGAGTCGCACAAGAAGAGAAGACTTTTCTCATAATTACGGCGAATCTCATCTCTGTACGTTTCACATCCGCTCTCTCAAGCATGATTGCCATGTTCTGCTGAATGACTGGGTCGAATTTGTTCATTTGCCACGCTGTACCCCCTGCGCCACCCCATCATCACAATCAATCGCCAATTGGCATGACCATAAATGAATTGCTTGTTTCACTCTCTGCTCTGCATAGAGGTGAGAGAGGATTACCACCAGCAAGCGCAAAGACAGTTCCATTTTTACTTGCATCTTGCAATTTAGGAGGACCGCGATATCGTATTAGATAAATTAATTATGCATATGCAGATTATCTATTCGCTAATAATTAAGAATCTGTGCAAGTAATTATCATGATACTATCGACCTCAGTTAAGTTTATGAGCTCCAAGTTTTCAGAAACACTAGGCGAGACTTATTACTCCTTTACAAAAAATTTGGCGACTATAGTAAATATAATAGAAAATGTCAAAAAGAATGCACATTACGCTACAGCTTCCGCCAAACTGAACCATTCATGTTCATGCTTAACAAATTGCGATTATTTTTATCAATTGCCTTTTCCAAGCAATTGAAAACGATTTTACAAAAGTCAATTGCCTACGCATTTACACCAGACATAATTATATTTCCTTTTTGCCAGGTAAATGGTAAGGAAGTAAATAAGTCACCAAGCAGCCACTATTTAACATTTAAAATGGTTTCAAGTGTGGTGATGTGCACAAGATTTCTGCGACGAAATTAGTGAAACTTGCCAATTCACAGAATAGAAAATGAACAAAGCTACATCAGCATATTCATGATTGCCTTAAACCAAATCCAGTGCACAGTAGTAACGACAAATAATCAAGTTAAAGTTTGTGAATGGCAAACTTGGGCTTTAGCTTTGGTTTCCAAATTTCTTGAGAATGCACCCATTATGCATTTTTGCAAATTTTGAGAGGATTTGTTGCTGCATGGGTTACTTACTTTTATTTTTTGCAACGATACGACGTGCGGTTGGTTACTGTCACGCCGTTCTTCTTGTTTTCGTCATCAGTAACAACAACCATCAGCTACTGATGAAATGTAAGATGATACTGAATATGACGCTAGTGCATCAAATTCCTCTTTCAAGGCAAAACTTCAACCTCTGGGCTGGCTTAGATATTTACGGAACACAAATTTACTTCTTGTTGTTGCTGTTTTTAGGGATATTTTAAAACTCGTTAAGACGATTCTTCTGCATTTGCTAATTTGTAACTACACCACGACACTACAAATATCTGCCCGATAATGTTTTCTGCAACTGTTTCAGTTTTATAAAAACTTAACAATGACGAGTACAATAAAATAAATGATGATCGGATCGACAGCACTTTGGGAATGGAGACACTTCAAAGACACTTGTTGAAATATTACAATTTATTTTTGTGACCAAGTTCATTGACAAATGTATGAGAGTAAACTTTTTAATTCAGTTAACTATTCGAGACTGCATGTGAAACTGAAAATAGCGAAACTTATTATTTCAAAAATATTTATCTGTGAGAATACGAGACCGGTATGCACAGCAATGGGTCAATTAATTTAATAAGCATAAGTTCAAAATCATCACCTAATAATCTAATGCTAATGGAGTGTATGATTTAAAATAGCATTTGGTGCGACCTCGGCCACAAATACTCCCATGATGTGTTGCAAAGTACGTATTTTTATGTTAGAAAATATTGTAGAAAAAGTGCAAATCCATGCAACTCGTGTAAAGTTGTGTGTCATTACGGTAAGGATTACGATATATTATTATTGCACACCTCCGACAGGAAAAAAACAAGGATGAGACAAGTTTGATTTCTATCCGTACCCTTGCGAGAAATTGGTGTAATGATACATAATCGCTTAATATATCTCCACCACTAAAAAAGTTATACGTATGTTCAACTCGCACTGCACGATTAAGAAATTAAGGATGGGTGCATATTTGGATATCGCTTTACATTGAAGTTTTAGAAATTAAAAACAAAGCTTGCGTGTAACTTTTCTGATTTTTGATAAAAAAATATTTCGTTTGGTAAAACAAGAGATTTCGACGGAGATGACAAAGTATAAATTTCACATTTCACAGGTTTCGTTATTTTGAAAAGTCTCAGTACTTCTGTTGCATTACAAGTTCAGTATCACCCAATCTGCCACCTGGTCGTACGACGTCCTAAAGTCATCCTTAGGATCTCCCAATGTCCGCCGAAAAGTCGTCTTTAGGATGTTCCCAATGCTATTAAGATAGGGGAACATCCTAAAGACGACTTTTCGGCGGACATTGGGAGACCCTAAGGACGACTTTAGGACGTCGTACGACCAGGTGGCAGATTGGGCAGTAATGACTTTTTAGCCCATGGGGTGTAGTTTGGTAATTCGGTGGGTCGGTTGGAGTACTATAAGTTAATATAAATTGTGGTATAAATCTCGCAGTCGAAAAACGCTGGAAAGTTACAGCGACTAGCCAGACCCTCAAAGGTTAAAAGAGTTATCATTAAAGTAAAGTTAAAGTTTGACATTGATGATCGAAATCTTCTCTTCGACACTTCTAAGCCCGCAAAGTACCGGAAAGTTATTTATATACTCACATATATCACTATGTATATGTACATAGCCATCATATGAGACGCATATATTTGAGAATATTGGACGGGAGATTTTGCTAGGGTACTTGGATTTCGATAAAACCGAAGTTCGATCAGATGCTGTAATTATCCAGTAATTTTAAAAACGTTCGACTGGATTTGTCATCGTTGTAGGTTGTGGGACCACTATGTCGGTTCGTATTTCTGGGACATACTGGCAGATTTACCACTTAACCTACGTTGATCAACTTGACATTTTAGGATAGTTCGAAGATAAATCAGCGAGATCCGTTCCATGGTTGTGTCATTTGAATAGTTGACACCAACAAATTTTATAAAGAAACAAGAAATTTGGCAAGGAATTGCATATTAAACTAGGTATATTACGCTAGCTCTAAAGTAATGCAATGAAAGAACATGAAGTCCATGCACGTTTTAACTGAATATTTTTGTCAGGGGACTCAACAAGGTGACCCACACTAGCACTGGTCTGGTGTTTCAAATTGATCGGGAAAGCTAAAATTTGACATGTTAAATGATTTATGCAGAATATTGATGCCACTTTCGTAAAACAGATTAGTAAATGGGAAACAACATAGTGACCTACACTGAGAAAGTGGCTGGTTCGGCTGTTCGGACCGTAACACATAAATTCATGTATAAAGCCCCACGATAGTTTTTTTGCTTTAGTTCACACATATTTGGGTCCATCTGCATAATTTCGTGGAAATGACTGTGACAGGTTAATCATACAACGATCTGCGTATCCTTATGCATAAAAGATTTAATATTCCGTCTTAGCAAGTATTCATCAATAAATTCGATTTATTTTACACAAAAATACGTTATCCTTTCTGAAGTTTAAACCACGTGCATATTTACACTGTGATAATTGACAGTTTACGGAATGAATACCTTCACTGTTAATTACATAGATACTTGTAGTGAAAAAGAATCCAACTACATAGTCCTTCATGTACATAATTCCTATGATTTTCATGTTATCTGCTGTCTCGTTACTTTTGCTTTCATTTTGTTGCAAGTTATGATTACCACAGAGTTGAGATTTTGTGTATGATATGCGTAATTACTGAAGCAAGAAATGACATTATGACCTCGATCTGGGCCAGTCTTTTGAACCCTGCTGCTTCTTTCCTCTCATCTCTATCGTCTCAACAACTAAGTATTTTAAACATCATTATAAAATGCCGTTGAACAAATTAATTATAATTCGTAATTTAACGCGTAACACCTACACAAGCTTAATCCCGCTATTGTTTTGTTGGCTACTTAATTCCCTTTTCACTATGGAGCGAGTAACTAATTGAATAAAAGTCAAGACAGTTTGCAAATTGGAGGCAAACCAACGTTTACTTTCCAATGGATTTCACTATCTGAAAACTTCAGTGCTCATCATATGTATGCTGTGAGAATGAATTGAAATCGTGCATATGTACACATTTTGTACTTGCACGCATCCGAGAATTACATTTCATGCAAGCACTAATCACTTTGTAAATTTGTAGAGTATTACGAATACTTAGTTTTTTTAATTTAGGAAAATTTCTCACGCGAAGAAATACTTTGTTATTATAATTTATACCTACTAATAATTTATAGTACCCTCAGGATACGCGTAATCTTTTGCTAAGTTTAAATTAAATTAGTTTACTTGCATAGTTAAGATAATTCTACGTGTAGTGTGAACAAATGTTAAAAAAAGTGTAACTCTTAATGTTATCCAGTTGTTTTCACGAATGAGACACACAACATATGAAAACTTTCTCAAATAATCAGTGATGATTGCTATTTTGAATGGTTTTGTGAATATTACGGACATAAAATTATGTTTAATCAAAGTAATATGCATCCGGATTCACATCACCATTAGGTTTAACATGAATTTTCATATTATCCAATGTTGATTAGATTGTAAAACTAAGGATAAGGAAGATTCTAGTGAAAGTGAGAAGGGGAACGTATAGATATGTATACACTTGTGTGTAGTTCTGTTCTGAGAATTCGTGGGTAAAATCGGAGGATAAGTGGATATCACATGTGAATGATAATAACTATTAACGATGCTATTGAACTTGTTAAGTTGTGCGTATGGGGCTACAAATTATGTACAACATATGCACCCAACTACTCGTACTGAAACTTTTAATATATGTACCAGTACATTGGTAGAATATATACCTGCCATGTGGGGATAAGTTTTTAGCAATTTTGGGGGAACCATGACTAAAGAATGGCTGGCTAATTAACTTGTTTAATTTCGTCGGTTTTATGTATAATGAACGACTAAAAATTAATTTTTCTCAACAGTTTTATCGAACACGAATTTGAAAAAAATGTTAAATAATGAATTGTCTAGTGAATGCAAATATAAATGCAGCCAGTTAATTTCATAAACATATTATTTCACTTCATGTTACAATACACGGCATCGTTAGTCACTGTTCTTATCCAGCTCAGTACTTTGCCCAAGCGAACATAAACTCCTGGATATCTCTGGTCTGCACAGCCAGAGCCAAATGAAACAATACCAATCTGCAATAATCAGTAACATTCATGGTTTGGTGTCCAGAAAGTCCGTTTAATAAAAGAACGATAGGAAATGGAACCAACTTGTTCAAAAATGGCTGATGATTTTCCCTTCCTTTTCAGAAACAATGGAGAACCAGAGTCCCCTAAATTGCACCATGATTTTCATAATCAAAATACATTATTTGACTGTTGAGTAGGGAGGACGACGCCAAGGTATGTGTGTACGTACCTTGACAGGAGTCTGAGCCTGGAGCCGAGGCACACATCATCATGGGAGTTATCTGCACAGGTTCTTCGGACTTTAAATATTTCTCAGCACAAATTTTGTTCGAGGTTACGTTTACCTGACATAACGGTCACATATGCAATTTCATATTCAAAAAATAACATTTATTACATGTACCATTGTCTGCATTTGCATTGTTGTTGCAACCCCACCAAACATTAGCGAGCCCCATCCAACGACGATGGCTTCCTTGTCCTTATACGGTGCTCCTGACTGTGGGGAAATGCAAATAGGAGAAACTCTGGCCGAATATTTCAGTGGAGTTTTCAATTTTAGGAGAGCAACGTCGTATACTTTCGTTTTCGTGTCATATCTGGACAGAGGTAACATATATATGTACGTCCATATAGATGCTTATAGTATCTTATGTAATATTACTTTGGATGCATAATGATGGCCTCTAATTCCGGAACGACGGCATCCTTATCATTTAAGTCATTTGTTCCCAAAAAGACTTGAAATTTGTCCATTCCCTGCGTTTTGAGGTACTCTCCACAGTGGGCCGCACTTATCAAATAACGGCGATTTATTATTGATGTTCCACACACAATTTTTGGGGTGGAATCTCTCATCTGAATAAATAATCAGATACAAAAGCCACTGGAAGTAAATATAATAGAAGCATATATTGAAATAATATATGTTCATCATACGTATACGATAGCTCCCATCCATGGCCAAGCACCGTTTTTACTCACAAAACCTCCGACAATTCGCTCGCTGTGGTTTGTTTTGTGAGTGAGTCCGCATTTGCACTTCTCCGTTTGCCTCCATCTGGACAATATAATGCTTCTTGATTCACACGAATGGTTAGTTAATAGTACTAAATTATGCTTGCGTACCTTATCTGCTTTTGTACTGGCAAATCTTTTATTAATTTTGTTAACCAAGAATCTTCGTAATTATTGTGTTTTACCATGATCCCTTCACCGATCTGGATCAAAATCGTTAGCAAAGCAAACAAATGCTTGAAAACTTGAAAATGAACTTTCATTTTCATCTAAACGGAAAAACGTGCTTTGTTTTTTTTTACAAAACCACGGAATTGAATTAAGTTAAATAAGGAAACTTGACCCGACAGACATCTTATTCAAAGCTGAAAGGAAAACTCAAAGGAATCACCGAAAGATTTATAAGAACTAGAAGAGGAGAGTTTTTCTTACCGAAACAAATCTAAATAATTTTGCACTTTGAGTGTCTGAAGAATGACCCACATGCATGGAAAATGAGTTGTCAAGTTAGTTAGTGAAATTAGCGATGATGATGTTTAATGATGATAACGGGAAATGTAATTTTGTGGGCTATGATTTTTTTGCATGAGAGTCTCGAGCAAACAAAGACTAGCAAAGGAGGGAGGGAGTTATGAAATCAACAACAAAATGCAACTCGTTTACTTCGGCATTCAGTGAACATTTCACATTTTGTAGCTAAAATTTGAAATTAGCAACATTTTAAAAATAGCAGATAAAGTAAGTTGTTGTACTATATCACAAATCTTGAATCATGCTATTACGTTAGTTGTTCATTTAAGTTTGCTACTGAATTACTGAATAAAGTAGATGACGGTGGAAACGAAGCATCAATCTGGATCCAATCCGATGGAACAATTTGTTCTTCTCGCCAAGGGAGCCAAGGGGTTAGCAGCTGCAGAGTTGGTAAAACAAGCATTGGAAGCTCCGGCTGTATACGTTTTTAGTGAGCTAATGGACATTCCCAATATAAAGGAGGTATGCCTGTCAAATTTTAAGTCGTAAATGCAAAATGATGTGTCTGTTCTGTCCTGTCTCTAGTTTTGTACACTACACTTGTAACTTTTACTTGCTTCGTGAGTCGATCTACAAGCTACTTGGTTCGAAAATATCGTGAGCTGATCCCGATCCGATCGGCTCGAGTTCACACTTGTAAGTTGGTGGTACGGCGAACCAGTTGGTACGGAAAATATACGTACCGAACCGAACCAGGTTCGGTACGGGTTCGGTACGGTCGAACTTTTTAATTTTTACTGGTTCGGTACGGTTCGGTACGGGTGAACTTTTCAATTTTTACTGGTTCGATACGGTTCGGTACGGGCGAACTTTTAATTTTTATTGGTTCGGTACGGTTCGGTACGGAAAATTTTTTAAATGTTAATGGTTCGGTTCGGTTCGGTACGGTATGGGGTCTTTTGAGATATTTATACATCAACTTTTCAATTGAGTACATTTTGTAAGAGAAAATGTTTAAATCTAAGTGGTTCGGTACGGCTTTGGTACGGTTCGGTACGGACATTTTTGTAAATTGGTTCGGTACGGTTCGGTACGGCAACTTTTATAATTTTTACTGGTTCGGTACGGTTCGGTACGGCATTCTTTAAAAAAAATTGCTGGTTCGGTACGGTTCGGTACGGCATTTTCTCAAAAAAATTACTGGTTCGGTACGGTTCGGTACGGCATTTTCTCAAAAAAATTACTGGTTCGGTACGGTTCGGTACGACAAGTTTTTTCAATTTTACTGGTTCGGTTCGGTTCGGTACGGCAAACTCAACTTACAAGTGTGCTCGAGTTTTTCGATTCACAAAGCTACAAGTGTGGTAGTTTGTCGAAAGACGATTAGAAAGAATTATGAATAATTATATTTTGTTAAAAATTGTTATTTTCAGTTGCAAACCAGTGATTTCAGAAACTGTTGGGACCTGCTCAATATTTTTGCGTATGGTACTTTCAAAGACTACGTGAACGAGAAGGTGACAAAGAATTTACCTGAACTTAGTGCTACCCAAGCAAAAAAGCTCAAATATCTGACCATCGTGACTTTGTCGGAAAAGGATAAATGTATTCCGTACAAAGTTCTTCAGGAAGAGTTGAGCATTGAGGATATCAGAGAGTTGGAGGATCTCATCATCGAAGCAATCTATGCAGGTATTTAAATAGCATTTCACTTCATATTATACAGCCATTAATCATAATTAGTACCCCTCCATTTTAATTTAATAATGTGCTAATCTTTCTCTAAAATGATTCATTAGAAATAATCCAGGGAAAACTGGACCAACGTAGTGCACTATTGGAAGTTGATAATACTATTGGAAGAGATATTCGCCAAGAAGATGTTCCCACCATAATAAGTACTTTGGAGGCCTGGTGCGATGCCTGTGACAATGTTTTGGGGTCTCTGCAGACCCAAATGGATCGTGCCAGCTCAGAAAGAGTTAATCGAATGCATAGAAAGGAACAACTTGAACAAGACGTTAGTTAAACCCCAATCCTTTAAAATTATTTTAGTACTATTATTACTGACAATGAGAATCACATTGTACATATTAATTTTAATTGTAGATCGCTAATTTGAAGAAAACGGTAAAAGTCAATCCAGTGGATGCTGATGATATAATCGCAGACTCGCGTGAAGGTCTTAACAGCGAAAGGACTCCTGCAAAGAAAACTATCAAAAAAGGACTTCGTGGGTCTAAGTTATTTAAATGAAAATTAATTCTCCCGTTGTATTTTTTACTTTGGCTAATACGATATCCATACAGTGTATTATAGACAATGCTGATTCACTGATTTGTTAGTAACTTGAATTTAATTGTATCAAGTATAAATCGATTCCTGGAACCTTCAACGTTATTTAGGTTTGTATAAACTATATTAAATAAATATCGATACATAAATTAGATAAGGTGAAAGACATCAAATAAAATACATGATTGAATTTTGAAGAATTCTCATAGTTTCGGTTAGCGGCTACCTTGAAAATATTCGACATGTCAATTTCTTAATTTTTATAATTAATGTGGAACTATTTGGAATGCGAATATATGTGTATGCAATAATATAGTTCTTATGAAAACTGATATGGTTTAAGGTGTTAAGAAAATAGAGATAACGTCGTTTGGAAGATTACAGTAATTGGAAGTATTTTATCAAGGTTGAATACTATCAGCAACATAATAATGCACTTCATTGTAACAATGACAAACAATGACATTGTTTGTTTATACCAAATAACTGGACGGCACTTACACCTATCAACTTATCGTATTTTACAAAACATCAAATTAAATTATCATTATTTAGTACATATTATATGCTATTTACTTCTATAACCAAAGTCACAGTATAAACAAACAGAAGCAACAAAGTTAGAATCAAAGGACATCAGGAACAGAATTGGGATCATTTTCTAATTTTTGCATTTCTATTTGCGATTGAGAAATATCTGTAAGAGCAGATTGCACACGGTGTAACAGTGCTTCACCTCGTCCAATGACCTCCTTTAATTTCGTTGCGGCATCACTATTTTCTTGTTCAAGTCGACGTAAGCTTGCAAGCTGTGGATGAAAAATATCAGCAAAATGAATCAATTATACTGCTGTATATTAACCAACCGTATTTTAAACTTTAGATGAACCTGTAATTCGGTCGAAGATTCCTCGCTGGGCAGAGATTCGATTAGAAAATCTATATCCTTGGCGCATCTTGCAATCAAGGATGCAAACGTTAGAGTAAAATCTGTAACATAATTAATATGCAATATAGCATGAGTTAAAAATAATGGGTGGTATTATTCATTTTATTTGTCATACCTTCCTGGGATGTCTGAGGCGCTGATTGATTACTGCTCCCACGATCCGGAAATTTGGTTTGAGTAGCTATTTGCTGCAGAACCCCAATACTATTGCAAAAATTATCTGCTTGCTGGAATATGAAAAAGAAACAAAATGATATTCATCGACCAAAACCATAATTTTAACCTTATTGTATCCACCTACGGAATATTTGCAAGAAGTGCAGTAATCATTGGAATTCTTTACAAACTAGTAGTAAATATAAAATACGAAACAATACTTACCGCATTAACTGCATCTTGTAATTGAGTGAGGCGATCAGCCATAGTTTTACTCTCTTGGAATTTGATTCTACTGTGTAAATATAGCCTCGAAATCAATCTAGCTTGCAGCAAAATCGTATTTAATTAATCTCGCTCGACGTTACTCACAATTCACAATTGAAAAGTGTCAATTTACGAAATGATTCATAATGGTTTTCGTGTTTTGTTGTGATTGATTCACAACTTGAAAAGCTGCATATTTGTCATTCTGTTTGGTCGGCGCTGAAGGAGGAAAGGAGTCACGGTGCCCCTGCGGCTCAACCAAAGTCCAATGTCAAAGTCCAAAACACAAAAATAAAAACATCAGAAAAGCAGTCCATCCAGTGCAACAGTTAGATAAATTATTTTAATTACTTTAGTAATTATATAACGTGAAGGTGGGTTTACTTTATATTCCAAGAGGCTGATCTAGCTAACTAAATCATAAAGGTTTGTAGTAATGAAACTTTTCGTTTCTGATTATTTACCATTTTATATTCAATCAATACTTAGTTTGTTGTATTGTTGTTTTGTATTGTTGCACAGATGATGAATTTAGCAAAATCGTCGGTGAAAAATGTCCAATCCATGCTGCGACTAGCAGCATGCAGAGCCTCCAGTACGAGTCCTGCTGCCGATCTTGGCTTCAACTTTGGTACGGTACATATGCAATATGCTTTGAATATTAAATGGTTTAATATTTTTAGGAAAATTTATTTCTTAAAATTATTTAAAAATGTGAACACGCAGAACTTAGTGATACACAAAAGGAGCTTCAACAGCTGGCCAGAAAAATTGGAAGAGAGGAAGTTCTCCCACGCGCAGCGGAATTTGACCGTACAATGGAGTTCCCCTGGGAAATTATTAAGAAGGTGATGTGATACTTAATATAAAACTTAAGTGATACTTAATTTATCAATTGAGATGAATAAAATGCTAAAAACCAACCATGTTAAACTTGTTTCAGATATGGGAACTAGGTATTTTTAATATCTTTTAATTTTATTATCTTGTTTTGCGTAATAAAATTGTTAATTCATATTTAGGGATTCTTAACCCTATGGTTCCTGAAGCATATGGTATGCCTAGTAATTAAATGCCCACAAAATGATGGTTATGCATTAGAAATGTTACTTTGCAGGTGGTCCTGGGCTGGGCTGCCTTGATAGTTGTCTCATGGTTGAAGAAATTGCATATGGATGCAGTGGAATTTTGACTGCTGGTAACTTATTTATGATGTATTATTGCAAACAATGAATTAGGGTCATGACCTTATTGTGTAACAATATTATTATTTATTTCAGCGTTTGGAAATTCTTTAGCGGTAAGTAACAGTTCCGCGCTCTAAAGGTTTCATTGTAAAATACAATTTATCAATAAATTTATTGTTGTTTGTTGTAATAAATTTGTTGTTTCTATTAGTCATCTCCGTTGTTCTTCGGTGGTTCTGACGCACAGAAGAAAAAGTTCCTCGGTCGGCTAATTGAACAGCCTCTAATTGCCGTAGGTTAATTATTTGTATTTTAATTAAATGTTATCACCAATCATTAAATACTAACTTAAATGCATGATGTGGTTATTTTTTATGTGATATAGGCTTACTGCGTAACGGAACCTGGTGCAGGATCTGATGTTTCAGGACTTAAGACAAAGGTCATACTATTTTCCACTTCCTCAGCATAGCTTCTTAAATTGTAACGTATAATAATTATTATAAGTATCAGTAGAAAGTAGCTTTATTATATTGTCGTGTTGTCTCAATGCTGAGCAATGAGAGTAAAGAAGTATATACTCATTCCATTACTAAAATGCTCATTGCATTACAGGCCGAAAAGAAAGGAGACGAATATATTTTAAATGGTCAGAAGATGTGGATTACTGGCGGAGGTCATGCGTCGTGGTACTTTGTCTTAGCTCGGACTAATTCTGACCCTAAGGCCCCAGCTGGAAAGGCATTTACTGGGTTCATTGTTGAGGGTGATTCTCCTGGAATCACAAAGGGCAGAAAAGTAAATAATCCAAATGAAAAATGACGGAGCAAACGTAAATCGAAAATTGGACAAGTAATGTAATTGTTTTTATTTGTATGCTTAGGAGATTAATATGGGGCAGAGATGCAGTGATACCAGGGGAATTACTTTTGAAGATGTGCGAGTTCCGAAAGAAAATGTACTCATGGGTAAGTAAAATAAAATGAAACTTGTAGCCAGCGTTCCTTTACATATATGCATACATATCGACTTGTAAGGTGAATAATGAAAGCTGTATGTTTCTTTAAGGTGAGGGCCAAGGTTTTAAGATAGCGATGGGTGCTTTCGATAGAACCAGACCTCCAGTAAGTGCGCTTTTTAATGGTTTTTAAGATCCGGAGTTCGTGGCAATATGAGTATCTTAATTTTATTCTACGAAGGTTGCAGCAGGAGCCGTCGGTCTCGCACAAAGAGGTACGCCAACAATACACTAGTTTGTAAATGTGTCCTTTTATCTCGAATCATGGCTCGTTTGTCTGTTTGATTCAAACTTACATGATCAAGTTGAAATTTTTTACATGTAGCATGGGTGAAATGAGGAGTCAATTTTGATATGCATCTTTTGCAGTTTTCTATTAGCACTCTATACTAAGTTTTTATTTGATTACAGCACTAGACGAAGCCACAAAATATGCATTGGAAAGAAAGGCTTTTGGAACTGAAATTATCAATCATCAGGTATTATTGTCAATTATTGAGCTAATTAATAATGATCAGATGGGTTAATAACATATCCATTCTCTTTCCTTTCTTGGTTTCCAGGCAGTGGCTCATATGCTTGCGGATATGGCAATAGGTGTCGAAGTTTCTCGTTTAATGGTTATGAGAGGCGCATGGGAGTTAGATCAAGGCCGAAGAAACACGTATTATGCGTCAATCGCGAAAGCCATCGCTGCGGAGACAGCAAACAAGGCAGCCGCAGACGCTGTTCAGGTAAACAACTTACATCAACAGTTAGTAATGAATAAAGTGAAAAATTCAACATATTTTGGCTTCCTTTAGATATTTGGTGGAAATGGTTTCAATACGGAATACCCTGTTGAGAAGTTGATGCGTGACGCCAAGATTTTCAAGATTTATGAGGGAACAACCGAGATCCAGAAACATATTATATCTCGCGAATTAGTTGGACGATTTAAACAAAATGTGATGTAAGGTTCAACCATAACATTCATGTAATTTATCTAAATAAAATCAGGTAATGCTGTATTGCAAGTTATATATATAATATACTGCTCATACAAAACTGCTTGTTAATCTTGTGTACCCTCTAAATCAATACACATCAATATTCTTGCATCATAGATAAAAATTAAAATAAAGAACTATTGTTACAAAATATTTTTGTGCGTGGCGTGAATGTGGTTCACAGTTTGTTACCTTCCTCATTTTTGGCATTTTCGAATCATTGGAATACTTGGAATAATCGTTGCATCGACTAACGACTTGTTGAACTTTGAGGAAATTGAGACTCGGTGGCTCAGATGAGTCCATCTGAGCAATGGGCACATCGAGTATGTGACTTGTGGGAAGCTAGATTCAAATGATTCAACACGTGCTGCAGCAACAACATATCGCCTCTCCGTCTCATCCTATTCCTCATCATCATCACATTTATTTTTTTAAGTCTACAGTCGGATTTTAAAAATATACATTTCTTTTGAAACAACATAATATAGTGTTTGGTAGACATGGGAAAGCACAAGCGGGACAAGGTGGGCAAAGCTTTGAGAGACAACCCAATCGCCCAATCGGGTGGTGGGGCGTCGTCGTCATCAAGAATTTCGCTTGGTGATCAGATCCACTCTGATAGATACGTCAATGGAGCTCCAACATCGAAATCTAGCCAACTTGTAGGAATTGATGAAGAGCCAGAAGTAACAAAGAACTGCAACAATGATTAAATTTATAATGAATTTACAGCGAATTTGGCGTAATGTGCATATTTTAATTTTGTTTACCTTATTGCCTTTGTATTTATAGCAGTTCGTGGATAGCAAAACGACCAAGAAGTTGTTGAAACAGGCTCGCGTACAGCAGCAACAGTTGGAGGATGAGCTAGCGGAAGTGGAAGAAGGTCATGATGGGGGTCGCTCCACTGCTGGGGGAAAATCTAGCAGAACATCGAAAGCAAAGTTCAATCTGGGAGGAGGACCCAAAGTCCAAGACTCTGAAGAGGATGAAGATGAGTTGGCAGCTTCTGATGATGATGAAGCTGACGAAGGAAATTTTGCACAAGAAATTGTAAGATACACGTACAAGCTACGGCGGATAATTAAGAATTTTGATATACAATTCATAGAATTTTGTAATTATAGCAAATCGATCCAGACGATGAGTTTGCATTGGAGCGTTTCATGAACAAAAATCCTGAACCTGCACGAAAACTAGGCGAAATTTTAATGGAGAAATTGACAGAAAAAAGGACAGAAATTGAGACACAATTGTCTGATGCCGGTGAATATATTTTTGTTAGGCTTCTGTCTAGCTTACTATATTATTTTGTAAATAACTGATAATTTAATTTGCACAGGACTTGTTATGCAAAAACTGGATCCCAGAGTTGAAGCAATGTATGAAGGTGTTAGAGATGTTCTTACCAAGTATAGAAACGGAAAGCTACCAAAGGCCTTCAAATTAATCCCACGTCTGACAAATTGGGAGCAAATTTTGTATATTACAGGTAAGCATTATTAATTTGTCGTTTATCTAGCTTATAATTTCTGTTGCAACCTTTGGAACGCTGATGCAAATGTGACATCAGCATTTCAAAGGTCAAGGGATTCAAAATACATAGATTTAGTTTTCATATGTATCTCGCCTCGATTGGTTTCTACTACAAATTTATTGCACAACATCACAAAGAAAAGGGGCATCCGCGAAAGTGGGTGTGAATCAGGACACGCAATCCCATAAAAGAATAGGGAGCGTTACACTGTAAGTATTAATTATATAATATACTTATATATTTTCGCTTTCAGATCCAAATGGATGGTCTGCCGCAGCAATGTATCAGGCAACACGAATATTCACCTCCAACCTAAAAGAAAAGATGGCTCAGCGGTTCTTCAACTTGGTTTTGCTTCCTCGTGTGCGCGATGATATCTCAGAATATAAAAAATTAAACTTTCATTTGTATCAAGCTTTGCGTAAAGCATTGTTTAAACCTGGAGCATTCATGAAAGGAATTCTTATTCCACTGTGCGAAGTAAGTGTTTTATTTTCATAGCGTCTTGAGTTCCTTCTAATTCAAATGAGATTTGCGGATGTTTTTAAGTTTATCGCCAAAGCGAAATTATTAAGTTTATTTGTTATATATACAGAGCGGGACGTGTACACTCCGAGAGGCTATAATTATCGGATCAGTGTTAGCCAAGAATTCAGTCCCCTTGCTACATTCAGCTGCAGCCATGTTAAAAATTGCGGAAATGGACTATTCTGGATCAAATTCTATTTTTTTGAGAATATTTTTGGACAAGAAGTATGCCCTACCATACCGTGTTATTGACGCTGTAGTTTTCCATTTTCTAAAGTACGACACATATTAAAATCATTTACGGAAAGTTGGTATTACTTACTAGCGGTTTGATTATATTATTATAATTTTACAGATTCGAAAAGGACAAACGACTTCTCCCAGTGTTGTGGCACCAGGCCATGCTCGTCTTTACCCAACGATACAAAGAGTATATGAGTTCAGAACAAAAAGAGGCACTTTTGGTCCTATTAAGATCTCACTCTCACCAGCAAATTACTCCAGAAATTAGACGAGAACTAATGAATTCAAAATGCAGGGACGATATAATTGCGGAAACGTCATTAACAAAATCATTGACTAATGTAAAGATGGATGACTCTTAAATGTTTTAGAGAGTTTGGAGTTTTTGTTATTACATATTATTTGGAATTCCGCAAAATAACTTGTCTTTAATGTGTACAACTAATTATACTTCCGTAAACTATTCGTTTAATAAATTAGTAACTTTAAATTAACATAAGAATTTTCGTTTGGTTTAATCAATAGATCAATCATCAGTGTGACAAAACTGCGAAGCCCTTCTTCCACCCAATATGGCGTCATCGTCTGTAGAATTGTATAGCCTTTGTCGGGAAGATGACGAGGAAGCCGTGAGCGCATCCTTTAATCGCTGTACAAATGTTTTGTAAGGAAATTCTTCATGTTGTCCAAAATCAAAGTCGGCAACCTCAACAGAATATCTGGCTCGATTTTCCCAGAAAAAGGCAATCCCAAATATTATCATTACAAGAGCGATGAGCGTGCATGTGAGGGGGACAATAATAATTGACAGCGGCTGCTGTTTGCTAACTTTGTACACCTAGAAAAATTGTGGAAAAATACAAAGTAAACTACAATTAAAAGCACATGGGTAAACATTGCAAGTTAAGTCACCGACGTACATTCACAAGTGTGCGATTCATAATTCTTGAGATATCGTTTTCCATGATGATCACCAATGAATGAAGTCCAGGTTCCCCAAAGTACCAAACATATGGAATATCGCAAACGGTCGTCACTTCTATATATGAGAAAGCGAGGAAATTATTATTTTTGGAACTATGTACGCAAACGACGTACGATAATTAATTATTACTAATTATTAAACCCATACGATAATTCTTAGTATTAATTGCATACTAAACATCCAAACTTGCTAGGTTGGATAAGATTGTGCATGCGTTATATTATCCGTTGTTGTATAATACAACTTGTTTGTATTAACAATTTGGCAGAAATTAAATGATACAAAAGGAGGATGAACATATGGACAAAGATTTAAATAAATTCATGGAGTATGAATGGTTAATGACTTTATGATTAGTTAACGAGTATTTAGCCCGAATCAAGAGGGTAGATAGTCTGTTAGGTGGAAAGGGTACAATTGAATTTTAAGTTAAACGCTACCTGGAGAAATGCATGTTTCGTTTCCAGTCATGTTATATGCTCCAGGCTGCATCTGAATGCAATATGTATACGGTTTGGACCCATCACACTGAACGTGAAGATTGAGTAAACGACCATGAGGAAACCATTTTTCTCCGGCCACGGTAAAATTGGAAATGGGCACTGCAGGGAAGGGCATAATTGAAATCGAGCTTAATTAAATGGATGGAAGTAGTATAATAATACGCACCTTTCGCAACAACGTTAGTCTCAAAACTGCCCCGTCTTATCAAAGTCTTGTTGGGATTTAGTGAACTGTCGAATTCCCCAGAAACTGTCACATTATAGTAGAACGTTCCTTCTTTTGTTATATTCTGCTTCAAACTTGGCGTGGTGGTGTTCATAATAAAAGATGTTGAATTGAACCAGCTCCATGTCACGTTAGCCCCCTTTGCCAAGTAGTTGTAGGGGTCGTGTAATTTGGTAACGAGAGTGGTCTCGTTGGAGGTGCTAACGAAATTTGGGTCTGTTTTTACCACAACTACCCCCGGCTGCTGAGGTTCCAAAGTTCCAGCAAATTCTTGAATCACATCAAAATATGTGACCGCAGTGCCCACGTTTTTGACAAAGTAAAAAATTGTAGTATAGGAGACGGCAGCAGTTACCTTAATTTTGAAGTTTTATGTTTAGTTAAGTGTATAAACCAACTTAATATTACATAAATTAACCTACAGTGTATGTGCCTGGATTTAAATATGGTGCATCATCTGTGACCTCTTTAGGTTTTTCGTCCAAGTACCATAGCGTCCAGTTTGATGTATAACCATTTGTTTTGTTGAGAACTTCAACTTTATGGCGATACAATGCGTCCCCTAACTCTACCCAAGAAACGTCGTAAGATTCTTGATCGACGTTGTATAACTTTAGTCTGAAGGTCACATTGGAACCCAAAAGCACAGGTTGGTCTGAAGTGACTTCGATGCGAGTTTTTGGTGTCACGAAAGGTAGAAACGCGCAGAAAATAAGCGCACAGATCGTCGTCCAAGACATTTGAAATCCTCCTGTTGTCATTTTAGATTAATTGATGAATTTCAATCAGACCAAGGTTATTCTGAAGATTCTTCTGCATATCCATTCAGTCGAATGAAAATCTAAAAGTTGGAAATAACCAGTTCATATTATTACTGCAAACATGAAGGACAGGGAATTCAAGTTTATGAGTCGAAATATCTAGTTACATACATAAATATCTATACCTTATTATGTAATAATAATAGATTATGTAGTATATTCACTTTTGAATCCTTGAGGCTTGATGTTTAAGATCTATCCAAGAGGTTTTCCATTCTTCTTTTATTAATTTATATATGTAACTAATCCCTCTGCTTTGCTTCTCGATACAAAAATCTCTATATAAAAATACCAAAATTTTTCAGTTATAAATCTTTAAAAGTATTTATACAATAAGAGCAATACTTTACTTTAATCGTAATCAATAGAAAGTATACCACACCACAACCACCACTTTATTTGACTACTGCCTTAAAATCTCCGTGTGTGGTTATTACTATTACGTACTAATTGTAATGTACTAATTTTCCAGCTTCTACAAGGCTGTTTACATTGCTGGAGTGGACGATAACAAATTACTTATTACTCATTATAGTTGAAAAGTTTAAACTGACTTGTATCACAACATGCAATACGAATGCAATGCATTTTATGCATACTCCCACAATATAATCTCTGACCTGCTGATGATGGTATCAATCTCTCTATGCACTCTGGCTCACATGACAAATCGTTTGTTGTGAATTTTTGATTCAATAATTCACACCTGACATCACATATATTGAATGAAGTACGTGAATATGAGTTTATGAGCACACCAACGTTCGAAACTTTTCAACCCATCCTTGTTAAACTTTAATTCAGTATAATTCACAATTATTCTGATGTTAATATGCGGAAAGAAGGTGGGAAATTTTCTCTCGGTGAAAGTTGGTTCGTTTGACAAGATGCCCCACAATCTCAACACATCCATTGGTGCGAATTCACTTTGGACATCTGCACATTTGCCATTCGGCTTGGTTGGTGCTGACTCCGACTGTCAAAATCTCTTATCATATGCAAATTCCGATAGAATAGATATCTCCATGGATACAGCATATCTCCCGATTCGCTTGCTGCTGCGACCAGACCGGATAACAACTCCGCAAATGCTGCTGATACAACTACGTGGTGTTTTTTACTGCAAACGTTTCCTGCAAATATGTGTTAAGGAAAGGTGTGCATATTGTTTTTAACTTGCGCAACTCCATCATTCTTGATATTAAAATAATAAGCAAAACGTTTCCAGAAGCAATTATGTCTCAATTGTGTCTCCCAGGTTGAGTTGTGATTGTCGAGCACAGAGTACCCAACTTCCTCCTTCCTAGCATCTTCTCGATTGCAATTTGAAAGAACATAAGAGCGAAGCCGCATTGAACTGTACAATGGACATAACTGACGTGCAAGAGCAAGGTATTACATATTATACATTATTTATCTCTATCGGTTCAAGCTTCAATTTTGAAGTTGAAGTTGAATTTTTTGCATGTTCAGAAGTTTTGGCCGCACTAGCCCCACCCACTGAAGAACAACGTAGAATTAAATATGAGGAACGAGAGTATCAGGTATATTAAATATGCAATGCAATTAACTAGATATATACGCAAATGTCCACTACTCACTCGTGTTTAGTTTTGACAATTTTGTGTTTAATTTATTGCAGACCTATCTGTATGAATGTGCGCTACGGAAAAACGTTATAATTTGTCTCCCCACGGGATGTGGGAAAACATTCATTGCTGTTCAGGCAATCTCGCATTATCTGAAAGAGGCAAATAAGTAAATGCTTATATAAGCAATTTCATTTTTTTAACAACTACGGTATTGGTATTTATTTATTTTTATGCTTCATGTAAGGAGTAACGGCAAGAAGATCATGTTTGTCGCAAACACTGTGCCTCTTGTGCAACAACAAGGACGATACTTGAGAGAACACGTTGGAAATGCACACTCAACGTCGAACGAAATTGTTGGAATTGTTACTGGTAATATGAGACCAGAAGACTGGGATGGTAGCAAATGGAAACAAATATTATCCGAGCACATTGTATGTTTATATTAGTTTTTGTATGCATGCAGATATATATTTAATGCGATGGTAAATATGAAGATGGTAAAGTAAAGATTGCAATTTGCAACTCTGTTCAGGTGTTTGCCATGACGGATCAAATCCTTCGACAAGCTGTGGAGCGGGGACATGTTAGATGGGAGAAAGTGTCGCTTCTCGTTCTGGACGAGTGCCACAACGCGACCAAAAATCATCCCATGGCGTCCCTAATGGGGTTTTATAAAAAGGAATACAACAATGGAAAACGGCCTGGAACTGACTTACCTCGAGTGATTGGCTTATCCGCAACGATTGTGGTTGGAAATAGATATGAAGTAGATAAAATTTCAGATGACATTTCTGAAATAGAGAGCAAGCTATGCTCTAAGGCCATCACATATCACGATTATAAAGCAGTTTTGAGGTAATAATTAAATAATGGGAACAAGATGTGTTTCATCTACTACCAAAGAGAATTTTACGTTTATATATATATGTAGATGTGGCACCCAAGCAAATGTCACGCATCTTTACTACACCCCCATGCCTGAGTGGAAGATATGTGACATGGATATTACGATAACACTGTCAGACCTTTTAAAGGATATAATGCAACAACTCGAGATGATGGAAGAGTTTCTTATCCAGAAACCAGCCATACCAAAAAATTGTATTGATCAGGAAGGGTATACCAACTTTTGGAAGCCGGAAAGCCCAATAAAAGATTTTGTGGGACATATTAAAGATATCGAAGACGTACTTTTAGAAATGGGTATGTATATATTACCAGAACACCGACAGAGCGGTTAATGTAGAGTACAATTATTCATCTATATTAATAATACAATTTTGGCTACTTTTTTTTGATAGGTCCATTTTGTGCGGAAAATGCTGTACTATACAAAATAGCATATATACGCTACCTTGCATACAAAGAAAAGCGAAGACCGAAAACTTCTGGTTTCGATAAAACTTCGGGTCAAAAAATCGTATTGCAATGGCTGGAACCGCAGCTTGAGTATGTTGCACGGCAGCTAAAACACTTCATGTTTTACGCGTCTCCTACGAATGCCGATGAAAGCTTTCATGTTGTCAATTTCATTTCACCAAAGCTCAAACAGCTTATCGAAGTATTAAGGACAAAAAGGTAAGTTTATTCTTGTTTTTACAGGTCGAATAGTTCGTAATAATTTTACTATGTCAACTAAACGTTTTATGCAACGTGCATATATAATAGGCCAGATGTAGCTGAAACCAAGGATTTTTGTGGCATCGTGTTTTGTCAGAAGCGAATTACAACGCAAATGTTGTGTTACTTTTTACAGGTAAAGATTTCATGCAGAGACAAAATCCAGATGTATTTATTTATATACATGATCTTATACCAAATATATGACATGGTGTTTTAGGATCTTAGCAAATACTGCCCTGCTCAATATGGCTTCCTCAATTGTTCGTTTACTCTGGGAACTTCCGGAAGTAATAATGGAATCATTCAGTCAGTGGCATTACGAAAGCAGACAGAGGTTTTAGAAAAGTGAGATTTTATTACTATTAGCATTATTCTTACTACATTAATAGGCAACCATAATATGATGAGATGAGATACATGTCGATGATCAACTTTCAGTTTTCATCAAAAGCGGATCAACATTCTAGCAGCGACTAAGGTTTTAGAGGAGGGATTGGACGTGCCAAGCTGTAACTTCATTTGTCGCTATGACCCAATTCTGACCTATCCGTCGTATGTTCAATCAATGGGCCGTGGTAAGCTCCCATTTTGTTTCGAAGTTACGAACGGTCAGGAAACGACGAGTTAAAAATTCCAATAATTTTCTCTTGTATCTTACATCATCCACGTTCTCTGTATATCATTCACTAGTTTCTTCTAGTAATGCTTTTCCGTTCTTGACTTAAAAGCATTTCCGAGTTAGCATTATATCACTCATTAATTAAATATGATATGATCGATCGTTTTGCCTTATTTACCTCAAAATTTCAGCTAGACAACGAGGGGCCGATTTTTTCACCCTTGTGCCAAAAACTTCAGCAAAGGAAGAAGTGAATAAATTGGAACAGTACGCCAGGGTCAGCGATTCATTAAGCAAAGTCCTGATAAACCAGGCGGAACTACCAGAGAAATATTATGAACCTGAAGATAATGCAGAATTAAACCAGATAATTCCACCATTTGTCCCTTCCAATGGACCACAGATGATTACTGCAGGTTCGTCAACTCAAATAGTCTACAGGTAATTTACTAATAATCAATCTTAAAAATTATTACAATAATGAAATGATGCATCAAATAAAACTTGTCTTTGGATTTTCATTTTTAATCAGATATTGCGAGGATTTATGTACTGACAAACTTTCAACGCTGACTCCATACGCCAAATGGATTAGAAATGATAAGGGGGAGTTCAAAGTTAATGTTCAACTGCCTCCAAGCTCGTGTGTTAAGTTCGCAGAGGTCAGTACAAATATTTACTATATTTGCACAAATTTAGTGAAACAAAAACATAACATGATTGTTTTGTAGAGTGATTGGTACCCCAATAAATCGATCGCGAAAAAAGCAGCATTTTTAGAAGTCTGCAAAAAACTCTATTATGCTGGAGCACTGCATCCGGACACGTTACTTCCAATTCCGCGATTTGTTCCCACACATTTGTGCGACTTTATTGACAACTTGGAGGACACATTGGAGGTGCCCAAAGAAGGAAAGAAAATTGGGTCGAAAAATAGTACCAAGTGGTACAATAAAATGGTAAAGTGAAATTCTTTATGACCACTAGTATGATGTTTACTGTGAATCGAACAATATTTATTGCATTCTGGAATGATTATTTGTCTCGTTTCGTATTTTTAGATTCCTCAGGAATTTCTAAAGTCGGAAAAAAAGGACCTTTCTGTTTATCTTATCGACATCAGAGTGGAAGAACATTACACGACGGATGAGGATATTCAGTCACTCTATATTTTTGATAATCAGCATTTCTTTTTCGGAATTATCACGGCAGCGGATTTGAGTAAAGTAAGAGTACAGCTTATAAGAGTTGTTATTTGAGTAGCTAATAATTTTTCTCCAGTAATATTAAATATTCTCCACAACAGGTACCAGACTTTCTCTTGTTTTCTAGAGATGGAAACTTCCGCGTGCATCTTAGAAAAATTGAAATTTATGAGGGCGGAATTGCTATGAACATTTCAGGCGATAAGCTTGAAAAAGTTAAAATATTCCAAAACTTATTGTTTTGCGATGATCCAGAATTATTACATTTTACCAATCTTGTTTTTTCTGATGCTGTTGAGAATCCGTATTATATTGCTCCGCTTCAGAGAAACGGTTTGTTATTTTAGATTTGATTGGTTGTTTTTATTCTTCCATTTTAGAATGAATAAATCATTATTCTTGCAGAACGAGACAATATGGAATTGGCGTTACGTATTATTACCCGTATGGAAAACGGACAAAGTGTCAACTACAGGGAAGAAATATCTATGGCCGACCGCAGGGAAAAATTATTTGTACCAGAAAACTTTACTAATGCATTAGTCATTCCCAGTTATTCTCCAAGTCATCATGAGCGGCAGGTATTACTATTTAATAAATATATATAGATGTGTATGAGGTCTGAACAGTATACTTTTTGAAGCCATATCGAATTTTACATTCTATAGAAGTATTGTATGCTGTCTTTGGATCCTTTCCGTAGTTCAAAGTCTGCATTCGACTCTCCAAAGTTTGATAGTTTTGTAACATATTATAAAGAAAAACATGGGATTGTCATCGTTAACAAAGATGACCCATTATTAAAAGCGAAGCCAATTTCCAAACAATTGAATTACTTAGTAGCAAAATACGATTCTTGGAAGGTACGTATTATATGCATAAGCTGAACACACCACAAACAATTAGTGTATTTGAGATAAGAATAGTTAATATTTTGTTTTCATTCAGATGACTGCGGAAGAAAGGCGAGATGGGAAACATTCGTCATCTATTGTGTTTCTAATTGCGGAATTGATGAGAACTCATCCTTTGCCTGCGACCTTATTCGTCCAATCAAAGCTGCTTCCCTCTTGCATGCATCGCATCTTTAGACTCCTCCTTGCTCACGACATTCAATCCTCGGTGAAGAATTTTCTTCAAATGCGCGACGACGATTTGACGCTCTTCAACAAGCAACGACACGAGGAAGGTATGAAAACGTTAAGCCCATATTTAATATCAATAATTAAGTATAATACGATGATTTTACCTACACCTTAGCCCTATTTTTTCGTCTAGAGTTGCAAAATTTAAACCAGACTACCAAGGAGAGAGCGATTTCCTCAATGAATCTTGAGAAAATGATACCCGACCTTGTTAAATCATGTGATGAAAATGTAATCAAACAAAACTCAGATAAATCTAAATTCCCTCAAGACGAAATGACACTGTATTCTTTGAAAAGAAAATTACTCTGGGTTGAGATCGAATATATTCATCCCAAAAATATAAAACGCACTGATTTAGAGGATCCATATCCAAGCGATGATGATGATGAAGAAATGACTGAGATTTTCGGTCATCCAGCAGATTCCCTTTCTACTAGAACTGGCATAGGTAAGTACATAAGATTATAAGACTGCCATTATCATTTGCAGTTGCAGTGTTATTAATAATATTCTACACTGTATATGTATTCCCAGAATTAATTCCAACCAGTCAAGTTCCTTTAACAAATTTTGATGCATATAATGATGCTCCAGAGCAACCTCTGCTAACTTCGATTATGGAGGTAATTAGTGGTTGTTCACGTAAATATTGCATCACGAGTTGTTTATTTTGACTTTTAACGGGTTCACTATTATACATATAGGCAATAACGTTAGCAAATGGGCGAGATCTTCAAGATCTGGAAAAATTGGAATTGATTGGGGACTCTGTCCTCAAACTAGTAGTGACTCTCCATATCTTTACTCATTTTTATCAGTTTCACGAGGGTCAATTGACAGGTCTCCGAACTAAACTCATCAGCAATAAGCATCTCTACTCCATTGGAAGCAAGAAAAATCTTGGAGAATTCTTGGCTGGTGGGTTATTCGAACCTGAAAGTACTTGGCTTCCGCCTGGGAAAACTATTCCTCCTAAGCTGATAAAAATGGCTGTTAAGAACGAGGTAAATTACAACATCTTTCGACTTGCCAACCGCAATACTAGTAAAGTGATGGATGACCACTCGTTCATTTCCACAATTACGGATGAGGAGTTAAGTGAGATTGTGAAAGATCGGGCAGAGAACTGCAAAAGAGAGATCCAAGAGCTGGGACCCACCCACACTTCGTACACCCACTCACGACTTGGAGACAAGAGTATCGCAGACTGTGTTGAAGCTCTTATTGGTGCGTATTACTTGTCCGGTGGGATCTCTGGTGCTTTGAACCTGATGAATTGGATTGGACTTCGAGCTCCAACCAACGAAAAACCTGTGAACAAAATTATGTATCAAAATATCAAAGATTTGCCTCGTCTTAATAATGTGTACCCCAAGGAATCGCAAAATTTGATTTATAGCCCTTTGGTGGATCACTTGGAACTAATGCTGGAGTACAGGTGCGTATGAATACATTACACAAACTAAAGGTTTTTGAATAACAAAGTTTAAAAGTTTCACATTGTCATTTATATGATCAGGTTCAAAAATAAATGGATCATTGTGGAAGCTTTTACACATCCTTCTTACACGCATAATGGCTCAACAAATGCATATCAACGCTTGGAATTCTTGGGAGATGCTGTGTTAGGTACAAAGCTTTCTTGCCTACTTATTTTAATCAAAGTAATGTATGTATTTTTGTATAAGTTGAATACTTTTTGTTCAGATTTCCTCGTGACACATCATATATACAATACCCAAAATAAAGTAACTGCGGGTTCGTTGACTGATCTGCGATCGGCCCTAGTAAACAATGTTACGTTTGGGTCTCAAGCAGTGCGTTATGGCTTTCACAAGTTGCTGCTCCAATTCTCTCCTAGACTGCAAGAGAGTATTGATAAATTTGTAAATTTTCAAGAGAGGAACAATCATGTGGTTTCAGGTTCTGTAAGTCAAGATATATAAATAACTGAACGTAAATATATATTTATTATTAGTATTATGAGCTATTAGTGTATGTTAGAGACCGCTTAAAAATACATGAGCTCAAAATAAGTAATTATAATACTATTATTATTATTATTTTGTGATGTAGTTTGAACTACTGACAGACAACGATTGTGTGATGGCCGAAGACATTGACGTTCCAAAGCCACTTGGGGACATCTTTGAGTCATTGGCCGGTGCAGTATTTATAGACTCTGGAATGAGCTTGGATACCGTGTGGAAAGTTTTCTATCGACTCATGAAAAATGAAATTGGTACAACTTTACTAAACATTACACACATACAAATATGAACTTTTTTTAAAAATCGTATCCGTTTTCAGATATATTTTCTAACAAGATTCCTCGTCAGCCCATTAGACAACTCCATGAAGAATTTCCTAGAGGAATTGAGTTTACGTAAAATTTGCATATAATTTGTTTTATTACTGTCATTTGTCAGTTACAAATTAAAAGTTGATTTGTTGCCTTCTGTTTTGTTCCAGTGTTGTTTCAGAAGATACTACCGCACCAAAATTTGTTGTTGAGCTGAACATTGCTCGACGCAAAAAATTTTATGGATGCGGATTGACAAAAAAAAGTGCAAAGAATGCAGCAGCAAAATTTGCTATGAAACAAATACATGAAGAGAGGAAACGCAAATGTTATATGCAAGCTCAATTTTAAGTCGTTTTGTTATTTACTTGAAAATGAAAAAATATGACGTCCATAATGTATTGCATACACAAGTACATATCTTACACTACATGTAATAACAAGTTAGTTTTATAAAAATTAATACTGACATTCGGAAATAAGGTTATAAAGATTGTGACGATTTCTACACATTCCTAAAATAAAAATTCATAGATACAGAAAAAATGCACATTATTATCATGATACACACTATGAATGCGAGTAAGTAATCTCATTGTGAGTACTCACAATCTTTGCAACTTGCGACTTAATATAATAGTATATAATCATAATCAGAGAGTGTAGGGTCAGCTTATAAATATAGTCTAAAAAGTCAAATTAAATAAAATTATACTAGGTAAAGATTTGCTACAAAGTTTAACAATATTTTTATAATTTGATGATAAAGTATTTTATCATTACAAATCATATATTCTAAATTACAACGTTATTGCACGGCATGCATATTAACCTTAATTATCCTGTACATGATTTATGAGTTATTCATGATCTGGGGCCCATATATCGAAATTATACTTGTCCCTGGATGACCATGCACTACTTGCATCCGGAGTAGTGGCAGTGGCAGCATCATTTGTCTTGAATATAAAAGTAGACAATTATAATAAAAGTACTTTTAGTAGTACATTTCTTTACAAACATCCTACAATCAGTTAGATAAATTACTTGGCTGTCCTTTTCAACATCATCTGTCAACCACGGGTTAGGATGAGTTGGACTTGAACAGCAATTGACACCATACTGCACAGTTCAAATTACATTAGGGTCTTGTCACACTGTTATACATAGGGGAACCTTTCATATCTATTTACAGCATAAGGTTTCTCATTATCAAAAAAAATTTCTGAAGGGTCTCGATTAGGACACTGCATATTCATCGAGTATCGTAATGGCAGATATGCATCCTGGTTTTGGTCCAATTCTCCATTCACACAGCCTGTTCGACTAGCTATAAATTTAACATTATATGGATTGTTGTATGATGGTTCCCAGCGTTGAATTGTTATACCTGAAGACCAGCTATTATTATTATTATTATTGCAGAACTGATTCTGCTCAACAGTTTGTTGTGTGTACTGCTGGTAGGACCCTTGTGTTTGTTGAGACACATAATATACTGAACTTGGTAGTCTCGGCTAAAATGTAAAATGAGAGCTTTATAAAATAAAATAACCAAAATATAATAATATGTCTGCCCATACAATAGCAATAAAGTACCAAATTCAAAATAGTTTCCTTGAAATTTATCCTCCGCAAATTATTTTGGCTCGACTCTCCAGTACTTGAGTAGCTGTTTCCACTACTTAGCACCATTCTTGATGATTGAAAGAAAACCATTTCTCGGGCATCAATCTCAGGGGTTGCATGTATCTAATTAAAATCAAACCAATACTGAAATCAAATTACGAAAAAAATAAGACACAACTCAAAAAACTTATCAAAGTATTTAAAGGTAAAAAAGGTACAAAAAGGTTGTTCTAGTAGATTTATCACTTTGTGATAACTTTAACTGCAAGTTTTATGCTATATAGACCTGATGTGGCTAAAGCTAAGGACTTTTGTTGTATCGTATTTTGTCAAAAACGAGTTACGATACGAATGCTATTACTTTCTGCAGGTGCTGTTTACATGCACAGGCAAAATACTCATAGGACGTACACATACATTAAATTTTTGTATTCATGGCAAGCTTTTTGAAAGATTTTAAAAATAAGAAACCTCGTGTAAGGGTTGGTACTGCTCGTTCCCTAGAAAACTCTCCATCGCTTCCTCACGCTCGACATTTCTTATTATTGAAAATAGGTCTTCCCGACTGAGTCTGTAACGAGCTGCATACTGACATAGAGGAATCCACAAATTTGAATTCATGAACATGAGGAATAGTTGATAGTTCATGGCCTCAGGTTGAAAACCTGGTGGAGGTCCGATATTTCCTAACTCTTCACAACACCAATTTTGATTGAACGCTAAATTATCAGAATGAGTGTAGGGAAATTGATCTTCAAAGTCATCAAAGGGGCTGGAAATATCTTCGTAATCTTCTGTAAGTGTACGTTCTCGTTTACATGTGGACACTTGATTCTCATCTACAGAGGAACAGGATAACTCCAGGTTATCATGACGTGGAGGTGGTTCAACAGTGACGCTCGAATTATCATTACACGATGTTAGTCCAAAAGAGTCTTCATCAAAAACATCCGATTGTTGAGAGTGACATTCTAGAAAAGATTATTATCATTATTATATATTTAGATTGACACACTCAGCTATTTCAAGTTCATTACCAGATTGGATAGTTTCATTCATATCATCATCTGAAAAGTTAGATGTGGCTGGTGTACTGCTGATATTCGGTAACGGAAGTTCCATACTTTGTTGCTTGCTCTGTAGTATAAGATAATCGTCATCAAAAACATCCGATTGTTGAGAGTGACATTCTAGAATAGATGAATCATTACTACCATTATATTTGGACTGACATACTTTCTTATTTCAAAATTACCAGATTGGAGGGGTTGATCTATACCATTATCTATAACTGACAAATTAGATGTACTGATAACATTTGGCAGTGGAAGCTGGGTAAACGAGGTCTCTAGTTCCATACTTGGTTTTTTGCATAGAGAATTACAAGCTCCCAAACGATTCGGCAAAGGTTCTGATCTTGACTTGACCCCAGAAAGAATATCGGCAAAAGTGGCAGGCGTGGCAGCAAAACTATTGTTAGGATTGGTATCGGCAGGATACGTGGTTGATCCAACCTCCATGGACATCTCATTTTCTACAGATTCTTCTAGATTCCCAAAGTTATTCTCATCGATCGTAATACGTTCTGCTTCGCGACCAACATCGTCTTCGTGATTAACAATGTCTTTATTTCCGGAAAGTATGGCTGCAAAAGTATATTGAAGTGGTTCAACAATTTTCGGACACTCGATATAAATCACTTCAAATTCTGTCTTGGTTTTATCCGCGGAACAAGGACTGCTTCCAGCTGATGATAACTTGGGGATTGTAGTAGAATTTACATTCTTGACACTTGGAATCGGTTTTGGTACAATGTTGGAAGCAATCCCTCCTCCTCCTTCATTGTTTTCACTTCCCAAGCTCTTTTTTCCCCCTCTTTTTGTATAATTGTACTGCGCTTGAACTCCGGCCGGAAGAATCTTTCCCCAATCAAATTTCCACTCAGGACTACGTTTCCCTTGAATTTCGAAGTCGTTGTGAGCAAATGCACAGAATGTTCCTCGAGGGCAGGCACCGGTTTGAAGGTCTTTGCACTGCATTTTCTTGTAAACCTACGTTGTTAAATATCAGCTAACTAAATTGGTGATTCTGAGTTGATTAAACCAACTACGTAACTTACTTCTGGATGAAATTGTTGCTCCATTCTTGTATGGCATTTAGTACATTCGTCTTTATTCGGACAGTTGGTAGAATCCTTCCTTCATTGTGAAGAAGAGAAATCAAATTATTCAACAGCATAAAATGGTTTGGCTAGTGACAGCAATTACTATTCCCTCACCATTCTTCACCAAGCTTCACGTGTTCGCATGCTTGTGAAGTGTACGAATAAATATCAAAAGATCTTCGGCGTTCCTTCTTCCCGTGATAAAAGGGACAATGAGTATAATCACATAAAGACCTGCTGGCAAATTTCTTGCATGCTTCGGTTTTATAGTAGTTTGTTAAATGGATGGGATCTGGCGAAACAAAACAAACATCATCAATTTGATACACTAACTATCAAATAAATATTAATGGGTGTAACCTTCCCACTGCTTCATGCACGAACTGGCAGTTGTTGGAGTTTTAAGGGGTGCAGTCATTATGGATTTGATTTGACCTGGCTTTTTGTACAGGATTCTAAAATAAAAAAGGAATCAAAACCCGGGTATAATTGTTTTGGATTTTGTTATTAATTGGAATTCTCTTATTTAGAATTATTGGCAAGGGCACATATCGAAGTAACAAAGTACCCATGTTATTGAGTTAAAATGACTAGAAAATCAATTGTGGAATAGATTAGGTTTCGAGCAAATCTTTTACCTACTCCCTGCTAAACTTTTGCCGCTTGTAAAACATCTAACTGACCCGTTAACCGCGGTTAACGTTTAATTACATTACACAGTTACCTAGTTTCTAGTGAAAGGAACATTGAGAAAACCCCTCTATTGCTTAGGAAGGGGACTATATAAATTGTTGCTAAATTTCACGAGAAAATCTATCAGAAACGTGGGAAGAGAGGGGAATGTGAATTAGTCCATCAGCCAGCCAACAAAACAAACGCAAAGACTAAAGACACACTCTCGTTGGTCGATTCTAAGACTTCTAGTTATCTGTTGACACTCACCGTTCAAGTTTTCCTGCTGATAAAGGATAATATTGACTAGCAGCAATAGAAAATAAATTCTTATTTGTTCTGTGATACCTTCCAGACGAATTGAAATGAAGCGATCCACTTGCCAATCTCTTTAGGTCCGGAATGTGATTATGATTCAGGATTCGACCAAGGCTCGTACAAATAAGTTCCGTTTGCTTTTATACAAAATTTGCATTTCGAAACAGTACAGCAAAACATTTATTATTTTTAATTGCTTTCCTCTGCCGAAAGTCTAGTTTCTCTTTGGAAACTATAGTCTTTTACAGAATCTTGTATAGTACAAATAGTGAATTATTAGTATATTACTACTTAATCAATTTGTAACATGTAGATTTGTGGTAATTCCGTTGGAATGTTTAAATAGAGTATATCCAATGGGTCTTTTATAATATTTTTTATAACTAAACCTTTAAGAAATGTGACTCAATTTTCCAGCTTAACTGCTACTTTTTACATGCATTATTTAAAGAAATAACAATCAAAAATCTAAACTAAAGCAAATTATTATGTTTCGGTAGTCTCGTCTGGAATTATCGGACTATTAAACTGTGGAAAAAATCCAAACCCATTGGAAAGCACGAAAGAAATGACCAAGATAAAGACAAGCATGAAGAAAAAGTAGGCAACCCCATTCCCACCATACTTAAAATATTGAAATTCAATGAGGAAGAAGACTCCGAGCAACAAGGCCTTGACGCGATTGTCGTCCGAGGTTTCAAATTCTAATCCCAGGTCACCATCAAAGTCTGGGAAGTCGTCGCCCCATCCTCGAGTGATCCGCCCTGGGAGAAGTAAAGATTGATCAGTGTACGTAGGAAAGCATCGGAAATTATATAAGCAATTACCAATTTCTGATATCCCGTCGTCCATGCACACCTCGAATTCCTCTTCGAAACACCAGACGACGCAGGGGACAGCGGGGCCGTAGCAGGGAGCTTGGATCGTGTATACGATGCGACCCTGGCCATCCTTGATGTTGTAAATCGAGCTGAATAACTCTTGTTCCATTGTCCCCAACAGGAATCCGTTCCCCAGCTTCACTGAAACCTTCTATGTACGCAAATGCATATGCATATGTGCATAAAAATTAGTAGGCATCAATGGTATGAAATTGATGAACTTACCCCTTTGAATCCAAAAGTCCATTGACTCCCTGTCGACGTCAGTACAAGTCTTCCCAAGTAATCTACAACCTCGTATGTAAAACCAGACTGGAAGTTTTTGAAGCAAAAGTAGCTTGTCAGCCCCACATAGTATACACATCGTCCACCCGAGTTCCAAATTCCCCTTTTCTCTCTGGGATTAAAGTCCTTGATCTCTGTAGGTCGAAATAATAAGCAGGCTTATAGTTAAAATTTGCCGGAATTATGTATATTCCAAGTATTTATATCACCAGGGGGGAACTTTTTGCATAACTTGAAGAAGAGATGATCCACATTTTCAAGAAAATGCAAATTGTCTGGAGCGGGTCCTCTTGTTAGAAGATGAGCTGAATACACATACAGATATAGATAACATTGACATGGAAAGGTATATTTCACTAGGAATTAATGTTATCCATATGTACCATTAACCAGCAGAGCCCTCGAGTAGTGACTCCCACCAATGATGTCTCTTTTGGGACTCGATCCGATAACAAAATGTTTCGGATCAATGTTTAAGACAGGTTTTGTGTTTGATGATCTTTTCCTAGAATTGCTCCCACCAGTCGGCCGAGTGCTGACCCCACTAATTCCACTCCCCCCGCCATCCTTCTCCACGAAAGACGTGTGGGACAGCTTCGACTTACCTTTGGCCAAGGGCGAGTGAATCGGCGACTTATTTCCCTTTCGAGGATTCGTGGGATGAAACTTGGTGGCATTTCTCGTTGAGGGTGCCCGCACTAAATTATTTGGAAGATCTTTTGGTAATAGATTTCCTAAGATTCTATCCAGCATAACAAATTTTATTACCACTGTTGGAACCATCTTTATTTGAGCCACCAGCAGTATTGTGATCATCTTCGTAGTGAATATTGGTGTGCGTTTGCCACGTATCGAAAGAAACTTTTTTTTCTACCCCGTTTTCAATTATACGATGCATTTTTGATGCAACCTTATCAAACCCAATACGAATTTTAATTTGTACATAGACATTGATGCAATACAATTTTTTCATACGGCAAACTAAACTACTTGGTAAATGAAAAATATAATAATAATAACAAAATAAACGGTTAGAAATTTCAACCAGAGCCATAGCACCTTGCATTTACAACATAAAACATAAATGTATCAATTGAAATACAGTTTCCCTTGTAATTTGAATAGCTCCCAAGGACGTGGGGGACAGAAAATGAGATACCCGAAGTCATCCTCACATCGGCATGCTATTTAGAATTGCATGCAAAACTGAGGATGAGTTTCATTCATGAAGCTTCTGGGAAGGTGAACAATGAGAATGCGGGTTGGTTTCCATTGGTGGACGTGGTGGTAGTACTTGTGAAGTGGCCATTATGATGATCGGCAAAATCAGGTACAACTTCTCTCCACAGAAATTTCGCGTCTTCTTCTCGGGTCTCAGCAGCAGCAGGCAGCGAAGAATGGCGACACAGCTGAAATTTCAAAGGGGGGGCCTTCAGGCTACCGATCCACACACCCACCCCATCACCATCGTGGGCCAGCTCGAACACCTCAAGACGTTGGGTTACGACAAGGTCAAGGTCAAATTTGGGGATAGGGTTAGCGAAGAAGTAAGGTTTTATTCCTATTCCAATAATTCCAGTATTGTATAATTCTATGTCTTATTGTTAATTATGGTTTATCTTGGTAGCTGTACAACCGCGCTCTTTCGACATTGTCACCATCGCCCACCGACAGCGTTAGTCTTTACCTAAACTACGCGAATATCGTCGCTATTCCCACGGCTGGGAGTCGACACAATGCTCCAAGTAGGCCTCATTGTTTTGCCAAAGCGGTCAAGTCTGGCTTGAGTTGTGCGGACGAGGAGGGCCTTGTGGTGGGTGCATTTCAGAACATGATTCTAATAATTGAAACAAGAATAATTATTAATCTTCATTTTCGTTTAGATCATTGCGCCCTATTCACATCTAATTCCACTGACTGCAGCCCTGGCACGAGCATTCCCGTTGTATAGTCGCAAGACCAAGGATCCAGAGTCGAAACATGTGCTCAACGTCGAATATGTTGTTACAGATGCGGAACTTGGAGATGAAGAGATTACAACGTTGGAAACCGTTGCGTATTCAATAAGGCATTCGGCCAGAATTGTGGATATGCCTTGCAATGAGTTGGGAGTGGGGGAATTTGTCGAGGTTTGTTTCAATTTCAGTAATTAATTTTGTTAATCAGTAAAGTTACTTATTTGTTAATAATGATTGATATGATAGGAATGTGATTCCGTCGTAAAGAAACTGTCCCCGTCGCACCAAGTAGTAATGGAGACAATTCGTGGCGAAGAGTTAATCAAACTAGGCTTCGGTGGGATTTACAATGTCGGAAAAGGGGCTAGTCCAGACCGACAGCCGGCCCTTGTGGTTTTGAAGTATGACTGCAAAAACGATAAGGCGCAGAATGTGGCATGGGTTGGAAAAGGGTAAGATAAATAATACTAAAGTATTTGCATGCAATGTATATTGCATTTTTCATAAATTTGGAGTAACATATATATCTATGTAGAATTGTTTTTGACACTGGTGGATTGACCATCAAAGGAAGGGTAAGTTTATGATGATAAAGTCAAGTACCTACATAACCACCCTAAATATGAGCAGTGTTTGAGTTTATCTGTCGTTACACTTTCAGGCCGGAATGTGCACTATGAAAATGGACTGTGGGGGAGCGGCTGGGGTTCTGTACGCCTTCTATTTGGCTGTGAAATTAGGAATCAAATGCAATTTGTCAGCTGTACTGTGTCTTGCAGAAAATTCTGTGTCAATGAATGCCATGCGGGTAGACGATGTAATTCGTTTATATTCTGGAAAGTAAGAATCTAAATAATCACATATGTACCGCATTTGTAGTGTACTGTCATTAAGCAGTTAGTAAAATATAATTTTCTTGTTCTTTTCTAAATAGAACTGTAGAAGTGAACAATACTGATGCTGAAGGGCGTCTTGTCCTTGGGGACGGTGTTGCTTACGCCAAAAAAGACTTAAAGTCTGAAATCATTGTGGACGTTGCAACATTAACGGGTACAGAAAAATCCTTACTGCATTTATTTGGACTAAGGTCACTAAATAATTATAGTATAATTATAGTTTACCTGTCTATATAATTAGGGGCTCAAAAAATCGCTACTGGAAAATATCATGCAGCCGTTGTTACGAACAATGAAGAATACGAAGGCTTGTTCATGAAAGCTGGCAAATTTAGTGGAGATCTAACTTTTCCATTGCCGTTTGCTCCAGAATTACACTTTTCAGAATTCAAAAGTGAAGTGGCTGATATGAAAAATTCTGTTGCTGTACGTCATCATTATTTCTATACTGGAATGGTATATTAATTAACTTCATACTGTTACTGTTCCATAAATTTAGGACGGTGGTAATGCCTCTGCAAGTTGTGCTGGATTGTTTATTTTTTCACACATTGGGTTTGACTGGGATGGTATCTGGGTTCACGTCGATATGGCAGGGCCCAAGAAAAATGAAAGCGATCGTGCAACCGGATTCGGAGTTTTGTTGCTGAATTACGCTTTTGAAAATGGCAACACACTATTTCAAAAGTCTTCTATGTTGTCGCCTCCTAAAAAGTAATGAGCCCCATAAAGAAAGGTAAGAATGTAACTCGGATCGGAATATTGTCATTCATTGTCCCCATTGCAAACAAATAATTTAACTGTTAATATTCTCAGTTCAAAATTTATTGAAATAAAATTGTATCTTTGTATAACCATAACCTATGTCGCTGTATAGAGTTTAATTTTTTATTAGCACTTTCCCAAGCCACGTCATAATTATAGCATAATGCGGGTTTTTGTGCACTGAACTTTTTGATTAAATTACATGTACATACATATCCTCGTTTCTGTCGTATTCCCCTCAGAATTGAGAATAGCTTTACTTACGGGCTGCATAAATTCCAAACTTATGCATACTCCAACTATGTATTTGTGAGCTGAACATGTTTATGTGGGTTAATGGCATAGTTAATGGTCAAGGAAATAAAGTGTTCATCCTTCAGCTCAGAGTGCTTATATGTATTTACGAGGCAGAGTGAAATTCAGAGAAAGATCTGCAGTATGCCAAGGTCACCTCTGGTCATGAACAGGAACAACGTGTGTTCATGCGACGACTGCAGTGGGATAAGCTCGCCCGGCTTGTGCAGTCAAAAGTTGGAAACCGGGTCGGTCGGTGCACTCGTCTTGATGATTCCAAGGTATTCTGCAGGATGTCATCCCACCATGGTCGCACACCCTTCGCGTCCTAATCGCAATCCTCCACAATTGAAAGTCGTAAAAGTATGCATATGCGCAAATATCTGTAAAATGTGATTTGCATTAATTTAATATACGAATGTAATCTAATTTGTGCACAAAACTTTGCACTACAGATCTCTAAAATGGAAAACTAAATCAAACTAAATAGTTCATCCATCATATCTCAAGACACAGCATACAGCTGCATTTCGTTATCAACGGTAAAATTAACCACGGTGGAGGAAGAAGAAGCGAATCAGCTTGATATACAAGTAAAACCATGATTTCGGATTTACATAAAATTAGATTAAACTTCATGCGCCACATGGAGAATACTGATTTATTTTGCATTTCTACCACTGATAAATAGCTCAGAATAATGGATGAAGGATAGAATTTAACGAACCAGAGTTAACTCCAACCTCTCTCATGTCTAAGTCCAAGTCCATGCATCCATAGGACTCACGAAATGTATGTACTTCCAGGCTAAGGAAAAGCTTGGTGTACAAATACTCCCCAAGTCACCAGTAAAATGTTTTAGAGACAAAGTTAACCGTGTCTTCGTACCCTCACAGTTCTGATATCGGTAATCAACCTCTTTATTAAATATTTGAAGTTATGTCAATTGTTATCGAAAGAGATCAAAAATGGGAAATCATGAACTCTCATACACGCTCGTAAATAATCATCTAACATACGAATGAGTACCCAATTTCGAGTATAATTTCCAGTTAAATTTAAGAAAAACTTGACCACGCTTCCTTTACCACCGAACTTTCTCCCGATTAGAAATACAACGCCATTATTTTAAAACGGCCGTTAATGGCAATTTGATCATGCCCCATGGAATTACTTTCCTGCATATCCTTTACTTCTGTCCATTGTTTTGTACAGTTTCACCCAATGTGTCGATGATGGTGCTCCCATTCTTTCTCATGCATTTGTCGTCACCATCTCCCAGTCAGCAGTCAAAACTGGATTCGGATTTTGAGAGGCGAGGTGGTTGAACTTTCTCTCCCTCTCGACTGCTGCGGTGCTGGGTCGATTAATATGTAGCCTTGCCTTGGTCCCACTCAATCCGAACGCTCCCTTCCACATCCACTTCTACGACCATGGACGATGAACCATAAATGTGCTCATGTAGTTGAAATAGATTAAAGACTTTTCCATTCCGGTGATCTCTTTCAACATGCTTCGAAAAAGAGAGCGAAGTCCACCCGTAGTTAAATATATTACGGTCACCTTCTTTATCAACGGGTGATTGGTGACGGTGAAACGTATGCATATGCGTGCATGCATGTCCAAGTGTGTGCTGTTCAATAGCAATAAGTTGCAAATTCTCATTACCATTTACCCACCGACCCACTCCAGTAATAAGAATAATGTATCATGCGATCAGATAAATTAGCTCAGTCCATGGGCAATTCACTTCGGTGCACGTGAATAAATTTTCAGCCTGATGGAATTGTGCATACGAAATGAAGCATTAGCCAAAGAAATGACACGCAACTTTAGGATGCAGATGGTGAGATGTAAAATATGAAGCAGATAAAAAGACCCTTGCACATAATTTCTAACTTACAAAATTGTACACTATTGTGTAACCTGCTAGTGTCAGAGATTATTTATTTAAAAAATTAATTTGTCCTTAGTTGGTTTTAAACTGAATAGGTTGAAAAATCTCTCGATTAAGGAGAAGAACCTATTGAAGGTTGAGGTTCTTCATGCTTTTAATATGTTTAGCTCCCAACCCAATGCAGTTTAGCCAAATTCTCAAGTGTTTGTCTCAAACAAATATTGCAATTAAAAAACCACTTCGTCACAAGTTAGAGAAGGGACACCCGGCCTTACTTATTTACTTATGTATTATATTAAATGTAAATGCCTAACAAGTAATCAACGTCGCATCATTATTTATATCGGAATCAGTAATCACATACAGATATTACACGCATTATTCTCATATTACACACTGGATGCATACGTACAAACTTATATGACAACACAACACACATCTCAATCGATTCGCGACCGGTATTATTTTAGATTGGGGCCCATGGACCGAGGAGAGAGAGGATTTAAACTGTGTACCAACTAAACCGACCTTCTTAGTTAGTTCTTCCGCATCTGACTCGGTAATCCAGTGACAGCTTTCTTCCTACTTTCCCACCCTCCTCGGAAACTACACTGCCTGCTGCCTGCCTTTGTGTCTATCCTTCTCCTGTTGTACCAGAGCGTTGCAGACAAGTGAGAGTCTTATCGACCGAAACTGCGGCAGACACGGTCCCTCCACCACCAGCACTGGCAGATATTGGAGCTTTTCTCCAAAGTGGAAGTGTGCAGTCGTCGAGGTCATTCAACCCGGGTTCCAACTCGGGTTGTAGGGTAGCTTCTCCGGCGGTATATCTGGCTCGCTGGCGTAGTACGGGCACAAACCTAACAATAAAGTGTGCTCCTAATACATACGTCGGGTTGTTCGTTATATAACCTCCACTTTGGAGGCAAGGGTGGTGTACGGACGGAGAGAGCGATTGAATAGGGGGAGTGGATGGATGGATGGAGAGGAGAAAACAAGGTTTCGTAACTTTCTTCCTCATCGTGTGCCTGTGAGCGAGGCTTGTTTGTGGGGTTGAGGAGTTGCCAGCCGGGCGGTTCAGTCGTCGTCGTCGTTATTAAACTTTCTCCACTGCCACCACACGTCCTCTCCACCCCAGCCAACAGATTGATGAGCACCGACTAACTAAGTCTCCTATGAGCTCCACGAAAAAATACAAATGAACCAACTCTATCTCCTGAGCGTGATGGTGTTTCACGCCATTTCTTACATGCATCAGCAGGGTCGTTGCTAAATAAAAATTCGCATCTCGTTACTACTGCTTTATAATAAGTATGTACATATATGCATTTATTTTTCACAGCTTATCACTCTTGTCTTTATGTGCGTATGAGGAATTTGCGTTATTTTGTGAGACTGAACGTCTCGGTTTACTATACACTACGATCAATTGATTACAATTACATTTTCAGCTGTAAAAATGCCACATGCCGTTTGATTTATAATTTAGAAATCGTACAAACTCAACTTTGAGCACGTTTCATACGTACTTTCTCTTGTAGGCACAACACAGCCGATAATACAAATTCTGTTGCAAAGTTGTAGAAAAAGTATGAAACTTTTCCCAACACTTCCACCCCTCCGAACGAACCTCTTGGACTGCAGATATTAGTGCTGCACGTCTCCTATTCAGGATTTGGTGTGGTGCATTCGGTGAGGAGCGAAACCTGGAGAAAGCGTGTACATCCTTTCACTGGTTTTGCTTTGTGCTCTCTTTCTCCGTCTTCTCAGGCTGCTCGTGCTGCTGAATTAATATTATCCTCTGAACTCTCAGGCTCCAATATTGTTCATCCTTCCTTCCCCCAAAACGAATTCGTGGAAACGCAACGTAGGCAGACATCAGAAGCTGGGGAGATGGTGGAGTGGATGGGTTTTATCCTGTCGTCGTCGTGTGAAAATAAACCCATAATGTACCAACCAGAAACATGTCATCCCATAACCAAGTGCACTTACTTTCTAATAATATCAAAATAATTTTGAATTGGGATTCCCACCAATTCAAAACTTTTATTCTACACGAGAAACCTCACTTTTTTGTAGACTTGCTCAATCTCAAAGAAATTTATGTTTGTAAAATGGTATTATTCGTATGTGACTACCACAGACGTGAACTTATGCTTTTGGTGAAAGTGAACTTTTCTTCTGTGACTAGGGTACTGATACATGTGTACGTTCGCTTAGAAATTCACATGATATATGCAGGTATGTGTTGGGTGGAATATATATGTATTTACAACCACCAGACCAACCACCATGTATGTATGTTTAGGTATGGGGATGAAAACTTGGAAAGATGATATGCACCGGATATTCGCCTTTCACTTCTAGCAATATATTTCATCTATTCCCAATATATCGGGAATGTATTCGGAACATTCAAAATTTGTAAAACTGGGGAACCTCTTTATTCTCACTAAGAAATTAAATGTTTCATTAAGTTAAATCTGAATTATATTATGCATATCTGTAGGCCCAAAAAAATGGCATAATTATGAGGACTCTTCACTTGAGCAAGCTAAGGTGCATGCCAATAACCCGTTTTCATGATTTTCATGAAAGAAAATGAATGATGAATGTGAACGTGAGCCACCCACCGTAAATCGACAGGGACACGAAAATTTAGATGTGAGACAAGGAAAACGAAATGCATGATGAGGACAAGAGACATAATTTTTCTGAACTATGGGTTGTACCAACGAAGCAAGCGATAGTTTGATTTTGTAGCCATTTGTATTTCTTAAATCTTCTTTCATTCTTTGCTCTTCAACTCCAGTTAGTTTTGGACAGATAAGTCTAGACTTTGTTGTTTGTTTTGTTGGTGAAGAACTGAGGAAGGAAAGTTGTACAAGCATGGTATTGGTTATGTAAATACACAAACTAAACCATGAAGAACAGAAATCATTCTAAATAAAATGTTGACGAAACTTCAAATAAATAAATTGATTTTGCCACTATGGTACAATTCTGCAGTATTCTGCACAGCGTACACCCTTCGTGGTGGCAATGCGGCAAGCAGCTAAATATTGATTTTTACTATAAAAATAGATTCATGTCAAGAAAATGTTGCAAGAACTATCTGATAGCAGTGGCAATAAGACTTCCAAATTCCAATTCCCATCTGAGCCAAAAATTCAGCGGACCGTTCTGGCTGGCCTGGTGACACTAGGGGCCGATATAGATATATATCCATTTATATGTATATATGTATGTATTCACTGAATCGTACAGTAAAATTAGGATTTAACTGATGGCCACCTTTTGTGACACAATTGGTTTCTAGTTTGAGCAGTAAGCAACGTTATAATAACATTATTAATGAAGGAGTTTGGCCCTAGTTGGATGAAGGAGGATGACCAAAATCTCACCTGATACACTAGAGTTTCCCAAATTCAAAAGAAATGGTACACAATCATTTGATGCATGGGTGGTGACAATTGATAGGAACGATCCTTTCACTTTCACTCTCTCTCTCTTTCTCGACTTCCCACATCACTGGATGAACACGTAAATGGATTTGATCCATAATATGCTTGCATCAATTCGCATCGATTTCTGATAACGAATGCATGTACATATCTATTGGTATTGTTTATAATAGAAAGTCAGCGCTGGTTCAATACGATCTTATTCAAAGTAGAATCCAGGTTTCATACGAGATCGAACCAAAGCAACAAATTTTATTAACATCTAAATTTGTCAGACTTGTATTCTTTTAAAATTTTAAGTGTCTATAAATAGAAAAAGAACGAAGTACGTACATGGTGTCTACATTGCACATTCATATGCAAATAAGTAAAGACTTATCCACGGATAACAGCAACACAGTGCGACTCATTCACGTCTATTTTACTAGGGGCGACGAGGACAGTAATTTCGAAACATTTTTATTTTGTCAAGCTCCCAACTTTTGCCTCGTGTCCCCCGATGTGCCGTTATGTGGACATTATCCGAGCGACGGGGCCAAGTCGTGTTATAAAATAAACGTTGTTAGCTGTCTTCAATAATGCGCAGTCCTTTCTTCTCCTTTCTCCTCGGTCGCTTGGCTTCTAGTCTGCGATGGGATTGTTGAAACCAAATCAGTCTGAACTAAAAGGCAACTTTTGATGTTGGTCCACGCTTCTTTCTGCTTGTACTCCATGAAAGGGAAAGAGTGCCCTCCGGACAGGTGTACGTATAAATTTGCTTCTTGCTGCACCGTGTTCAGCTCAAACCAAGTGTGTCGGATATCAGCGTCTGAAATCTTTTTAGCTCATCCAACATGAATGGTTCAAACATGGAATTTGCGACGTAACGCAAAGTTAAAGCTAAACCGATGACATAAAGTTCGTTTTCACCATTTCTCGGAAAGATCAACGAACACTCAGCATGGCTATTATTTAATATAGCCATAACCATGAGAGGATGGAAGCAACTCAAATTGCAAACTACATATTATTTAGCATTATGTTCTTATAAGGTTAAGAAGGAAAGATTTGCATTACATGATAAATTTTTTGTTTGGCACAATTTTGTGAGATTTCTCAATTTAAGACACTTTATATTTATCTCACCAGAAAACTGGTCTTCGAATGTTAACAAGCAGCCGCGGATAAATAGTTCCGTTAATTGTTTTCTCATCAAAAGCATTCGAATTTTGTCCAGTTATACGCTGCCCCAACAGTATCTCGTGCTTATATATTTATGCATACTTTTTAATGAGTAGACTTGTTAATGGTTTCACTTTAATATTATTGATGTAGAATTGCAGAAATTTACTTAGAACGCAAAATACAACTTTCCATTTCAATATAAAAGTGAAAATTGTATACATTTTAATGTAAGGAACTTCCTGTAGTCATATAGTTGGAAAACTAACAACAGCGTAAAAAGTTGTTTTATGCAAGATGTTTTCGTTTAAGCAAGTTGTTGTTACACTGTTAATAATAATCTTAGCATTACTCAGAAATCGACAAAGAACTGATCTTGAGAGCTTTCCCTACATATGTACATTCAACCGTCATATTATGTACTTATGTATCCTTTGATATATATACATACACAGACAGACGAACGAATACGCACGTGGCGTAGCATTGATATTGACGATTGTAAGTACTCGATGTTAGAGTTGCAATTCCAAAGAAATTCTAGGAAGCTTAACGAATAACAAGTCCAAGAAAAATATTAGTATATCAAGTCTTTCAAAACATTTTGCATAACACTCGAAAACTAACTAAATCCGAGAACTTCACCTTTCTCTTGCTTATTTCATCGCTTAAAACTGTGATCTGTAAACTGTGATTTGCAAACTGACATTTGGTTGTACATATGTGCAAACTATTTTTTTCGAAATAAATGTATGTAAAATGAACATGGAAAGAACAATAATAAATTTTACATATGTATATACATTTTTTTGTGAGAATTATTTTAGGACTGCTCTAAATGAACATATCTAGATGTATATATTAGATACATATAACTTGATATTTCCAATGGATTTATTTTTATTGGCACATTAGTTATTATGCATTATTGTATAAGTACCTACACATATATAATATCTGATAATGAAATAAATTAAGTCGCATTTACAATTTTGGACAAGTATTGCAAAAGGTCAAGGCGTTCAGATATATTCATAAGTTTAGTGAGCATTTTCCAGAGCAGCTAGTTTTAAGAACTTTTATGTACGGATACATACATAACTTTAACTTAACTCCGCGTATTTGCCAACGGCAGTAAACAAAACTTGACTGAAAACTGTCTGTCTGGTTTCCTAAGTAGTTTTTGCAAATTGAAGAAATGCTCCAACCTGCATAATTGACTACTTACTCACATACGAGGGTTTGAGGAAAATTGGAAGAGAGATAGATCACGCGGATGGTAAAGCAAAGGTACAAACAAATCCTTGTTGGGTTAAAGGATTTCCATTTCGCCTGGATTATGTTTGTGGATGACTGACGTCCAACCAAGAGCTTTGTGCAAATGTGTGCTGGAAGAACCGTTTGGAGATTTGCACCAGCAGCAAAACTCAAGCCCTTAAACTTTGAAGTATGTACATCGTTCATGGTCCTTTGTTTTATTTTCTACGCATAAGCTTAACGGTAAGGTGAAACCAGTTCAAGAGATCCAGTTTCAAAATTTCAAAAACATTAAAACTAGAAGAGCAGAAACTTTTATTAAGATAAATATAACTAGCAAAAGAAAGGCATGAGCGTTTGATCATATTAGGATCACACAGATCTCAAGTTTATGTGTACTTGATTTGCTTTCATGTGCAAATGTCATACACATACCAAAATTGGACAAACACCAATAACATCAAATAAAGTTTAAATTTAAATGTCTCTACTTAATTTGCAGTCAATGTAACTACAAAAATGACATGACCACATATTTTCTTTCAGTTATTTTGTACCAAAACTGATGTTTCCGATGCAATTTAACTAGATAGATGTGTATAATGTGTATATATTTATGTGGGCGTGGTTCTGGTTTGTCCCCATACAGCGGCGTATGTGTTGCTATATTTGTCAAATAAGTATACACATAAGTATACGTAGATATGTCTAATTGTCAACACATGAAACCATTTTTCCTGATCAAGCCGAACTATTATAATTTATCCAACAGTCGCTCAGCACGCAAAAGTTAATGATATTTCACCGAATCGTGATCACATAATGTATTAATAATATGACTTAATTACTAATCAAAAAGTGAATGACATTAGCTAATAGTTGTTATTTGTATGACATGCATGACGTTCATAATTTTACGTATTTCGATGCCAAGTAAGCCACAAAATATGTTCTTTCTCCAGGAATATGACGGTGCAGACCACCAAAGCCGCCAGAGGCATGGAAGCGACATGAAATAATAATTTTCCCCAATGCAACATAAAACTTTTAGAGATGTTACGGAATCATCGTATTATTTGCATCATGGCGCATGATCATGCAAATGCTTTTACTTTATAGTCATAGGATTAAACGTGCACCTCTTTTAGTGCACTCAAAATCCCATTCGCATCCAACCAACTGATACATATTATGGGTTTTTTCGGAACGGAGGAATAACAGTTTTTGTACGGAAACCTCGAGCAGGAAGTGAGTTTAGATGAATGACAATTTGCCGTGAGTTTTCATGTGCACGGGGAATAAATTATGGTAAAAGCAAAAGGGATGAATGTCATTCAGTTCAGTAGATGCACACATATGTAAACGATTCTTGTATGTATAAACTCGCCACAACACAGGGGGATAATTCTTTGGAACGCTAATAATCGCTCAATTGCACGCATTTCAATTTTAGTTCTGACGAGTCTATTCAAAATTCATGAGTGTGTAATGCAACAAGCGTCATCAATGTCAGCAACCACAGCACTTTAGACAAAATATTAGAGACTGCAAAGCCCCTGGCAAATTTTTCTACATTAACGTCATTTTTTTCGCACGTCCCATATTCGTCGCTGGTATTCCTGTTGGTCATGCTTCTTGAAGTTTTGCGACATTCATGTTTCTCTCGACACTCCAAAACCATTCCTTCGCCCTGATTTTTCCGGCTCGGTACATCATTTTCGAGGGTGCAGTGTCCATGGGTGCCAGATTTGCACTTGTCGCTCTCCTGGACCAGTCGTCGATCCAGGCCGTGCTGCATGTAAACACATTGACCTCAATCATTACAAACTAAATGAGGAATGGCTTATCATCGGTTTCATTCATCGATAGATAAATGGGAACAAAACTGCCAACACTTACAACTGCACGATAAGTCCGATATTGGTGTCCACTCTCAATGATAATCGAAGGGCTCAGCAATGGATCCACTTTGTACATGTTATAGCCACACGTGCAAACCTCTTTGTCTCCCTGCTTTACACAGTCGAATTTGTGGGCGTCAATTACCAAATCGTCAGATACCTCGATACAAATGTCGCTCAGGTAGCTAAAATATGGGAGCGAGTTTTCGTAATATACAAAATTGAGGACGTGACTAATATTTTTAATTTGAGTTTCTGCGACAAATTTCTCGTAAGCTTTGTAAACACATGGATCTCCGTATTTAAGTGGAATTGGAATTATTTGAAATGACGTTGGACTTGTTTGTATACTCGAATTGCTTGGTACTGGTGTTTGGCACGTGCAGTGTGGTACAAAATTTATCATTTGGATTGCAGTTAGTAGAATAGTGAGTAAATTTTGATTTAAGACGAAATTCATTGCGATTTTATGGGGATAATATATATAACGATACAAAACAATGGATAGGAATGGAAACGGAAGTTCGATTATTTTATATGGTGTTCAAAATTCCAGTGATTGATTGTTAAATCTCCTATGGAAATGCAAGAAACTCAAGCTTATGAGATGCATTTCATTCCGTAGCTGATCAACCACCTTCCGGCTGTTGATTACATAGAATGGGTTAGAGTTTTGAATTAGAATGACATTTGACCAAATTTAAGGGATTTATTTCAATGTGTATGTGGTTTAGGGAGCTCTCGTTAGGTTAAAAATTAGAAAATTTCTTGAACTTCTACAGGAGAGAAACTACAAGTTTGCCTTCATTAGCCAGTCAGAATCCTGTCCAACTTTTTGAAATTGGAATTACCTTTTTCTCGTCTTGTACATAGTTTTTTTTCATTCTCGTTGAATGAGGAAAAAGTGGTCTGTGAGAAATACTCATTTCTCATCACGTGTACTTATCTGCACATCTACCTCAAGTACGTATCTACTTCTTCGTGTGAAGAGAAGTGCAATTCGTTACCAACCACTGATTGCACTTGCCTCAGCACACTGAAAAAATAGGGAGAAAGATTTCCATCCTGTGCTTAGTCGTCCTTTCTTTCCTGCCTGCCTATCCAACTATTTACTTACCTGTCTCAACTCAAGTTACGTGATGTTTGCCTCCACAGACTTTAACATCCCTTCCAAGTCTAGACTTTGACGTTTAAATTACAAAAGGTTTGACGGGATGAGGGATGCTCGTTTGGAAAAGAAAGTTTGGATGTATCCGGTGAGTGATTATATTTAGCTGTCCATACGTGTAAAGGGTTTATATATTTCTATCATTTCATGTATTGGAAAATATTTCAATGGTGGTTGACCAATACGGAGCATATACATACACATGCGTTGAACATACTTTATATTTATGTAAAAAATAAAAATAAACGTTTTAGCTAAGTTTCTAAGCTTAGTTAACAAGATACGAAAACGTAACATAGATTGAAGCTAAATATTGGAATCGTTATTTTAAGCGTCAAAGCAAATTGAGTCAGTTAAAATAACGCGATTACAACACCTAAATCTACCACAAAAATTGTAATCCGCTCATATGCTTCAATAATGTTTTAATCATGTTGCATTAGCTGGGTTTTTTTGATGTTCAACTGTATACCAATGGCAGACGGGGTGTAAAAACTCTACTGCAGAGAACGTAACATTCGGCAGAAACTAATTCACACTCACCAAGTCAAAGTAAAAGAGCTTTTTGGAGAGGGAGAAAGTTAACAAGTTCCTGGAAGCGAAATCCGAACCAGTCTCCAGTTTCTCCTTCACCTCGAATTTCTCTTTTCTTGGCTCTTCCTTGCCTCCTTCTCTTTTAGCTGCAATAGCAAAGAAAATTCGATAAAAGTCCCGAGCAAAGAAAGGACGAGAGAAGTAAATCGAGAAAAGCGAAAGTCTAATTCCGCTGCTGTAGTCACGTTGCTTCCCTTCCAACCGAGAATCTGTGTGCTCCGATGCAGATGCCAAGCCAAGCAAAAGCAAGTACACCCAATGCGACTTAACTGTGTATGTCCCACTACAATATCGCCAAATGGGACACTGTACGAGAAAAAAAGATTGATACATGCAAATAAGTGTTGTCATGTTATACAATGAGCATCTACGCGGATTCATATATAACAAGATTTTTTGAGTTTTCTCTTCAGCACTTTCAAAATCTAAGGGACAATGGTTCAGCGATGCATATTAGATAGTAGTAACTGCTTGTTGGATAGCTGGAGTTTCACGTGAATTTTAAAAATATTCAATTCTGAGAAATCAAGTTGGTCCAAGAAAATTTGTAAAAGTTTATATCTTCGTGATAATGTGACGCGTCAACTTTTTGGACGCAGTTTAAATACTTAGTTGATTATATAGTGTCCATTACCTTGATCGAACTATGTACTTAAAACTGAAATGCAATTGAAATTCATTTTCAAAACTGGGCACATTCTTGGTTCTATTCACCTTTTTACTGTCCACAAAGCCATACACTTACTTTCTCCCAACTCGTGAAGGGAATGTCTGTTTGTGTATTGAGCCAGCCACTATTTGCATGCATAATATAAAGCCAGGGATTCGTAAAATTGAAATGTAGAGAGAAAAGATCACATTCCTGTTGAAGAAATTTCCACTTGCTGGGTTTCAATCTCATCGCACGCTACAAAGAAACTTAAATCTTATTGCGTCTGCTATATTTATGTCACTGAATGATATTTAATTTTTTGTCCCAGAGTAGACAATTGCCTACCCATCCATTCACTCCATTCACAGTTCTGTAGACACCAAGTACAAATTGTAATCACAAATATAACACGAAAGAGACACGGCAACGGGGAAAGAGAAAAGGTGTGTTTGTGAAATGGGATTGAATATAAAATGCAAGTTGTCCTCCAAAATGAGATTCATGCAGTGTTATGGAGAATGAACCCAAAGCATCATAAGACACACCCATGGCACACCTGAAACAGATAGTAAACTATCCAGGCGGCCCGTCTGTGAATAAAAGTGGTAAGGAGGAAATTGCTTAGGTCGAGTAGTAGCAGAATAGCTTAGCATTCATTGTGTATGTCCTTCAATTAAATACATTTTACACCAGGTGACACAAGCTCTAGTTTCACGTGCTCATTTTCCTTCTTGTGTGGAGGAGCAGTTTGTAGCAGTATAGCTGGAAATTCAATGTTCCGTTCAATCTACTTTCTCCCCGGCGTGTAATTCTCATTTTTGTTTCACCTCTTTCCGAGTTCCCTCTTGACTCCAGCACCCAACTCTGGAAGTAAGTAAGGCCGCTCTTTACGTGCTTATTAATAATGCAGCAGGACGGGATGAAAGCAATTTTCAGGCCATACGGTTGTATAAATACAAGCGTTCGTATAGCCAGCTTTCACCTATCGCATATCGTAATACATAGAAAGCCGAACAGAATATTTAACAGTCCTGCAGTTACATACATATGACGTGCCTGGCAACATCCAGTTTCGGAGTCGGATAAATGACATCATACACTGCACCTACAGTTCAAACTACAGTTTTAAGTATTCTAGTAACATATGCTATTTTGTATTCACCAGAAAAACACAATTCGTTATTATTTGTATAATTGACTCAAACCTAGAAGCAGCATTGTGCATCTTCAGTTACTTTTCTAGACAAACAAATAGCATGCAACGTGTTACATAGGTATTTGTTATTGCCAAATTTCCTCCTTCTGAATGTCATGCAAAAAATATTTACATACAGGTACAGAAATTAGTGGGTCATATGCATTTTTTAATATTTAGTAACATTTCTACATTTCAAATTTATACATTAATTCGCTTTATCAAATTATTTATGTTTCCACATAATGATGTAGATTTCCTAGAAAAGGTATATGTATATCCACAATAATGAATATTCTGAAGGATGCATCACAAAATGATTTTTCTGATTAAAATCAACCCTTGCTTCGTGAACAATGGCTAACTGAGAACAACAAATGCATTCATATTTATGTATCTGCAGTCCATACGTATTCGACGAAATAATCAGCTTTCTCTCCAGTACTCATTTCCAGCGACTCCTCAAGGCAACTGCTGATCAAAAATGTTATTAACGTTTATATAACAGGCTGTGTGCTCAACTCCGTTCCGTAATAGAATGTAGGAAGGAACGGCGCGTGTTCGCTAGCACTGAGCTGAGTGAAAGGTTATTAATTAGTTTAGTTATGTAAACGCAGGTTGCTAGATTTCCTTTATTGCAATAACTGTGTCATACGTAACACGACGAGTAAAGGGCAATTATATGTTGAATATGAGAGATCAGAGAAGTTTGCTTCATTGTTAATGATAACAATCAATGGTTGTATAACCAGTAGGTGGGCATATGTGGTTATAAATAAATATCGAAGTATGGACGTGGTGAAAGTTGGATTCTCAGCCAAGCAGACGTAGATGCAAGCATATTCCTGTACAAGGGAAATCAACCGGACAAAGCCAGTTATCTTACGGAGACATGATAACTGGTGCCGGTAGTTGGTCGAACAAAAAGAAACTCTGCGCTTCTGCTGCTGGGATGTGGCTGGCTTTCACTTTGTTTCTGTTCTAACAACTTGCTGCCAACTGTCTGTCAGGATATTGGACGGATTAGCGAGCAGCCAAGGTCCTATGACCCCGATCCCACTTGTCATTTTTCTTACTTATCTTTCAATTCTGCCAAACAACCCCCAGCCAATTACTTACTTTCATTCCCACATCCACTAATTTTGTAATTTAATCCATCCGTCAATTATTGCCGTCACCATGATAGTCATTACTTGTTTCGCCACTTTTCACAGCTCCCTAGTCATTATTTAAACTATTTACCATCACAGGACAGCATGCTGTTAGTCAACCAAGTCTATAACATGTAAATCATAGTTATGGAATGAGTTTAATAATAGTGTAACGATCCCGAGCAAAGTCAATATTTATTAATTGTGAACTATAAATGCATATGAATACTCCTTGTCATTGAGAATTACTAAACATCTTTTGCAAACGTGCAATGGCTTCTATCATGAAAACGTGTGCATGCAGCCCTGAAAAGTTTCGTCCACCGTTCCCACGTCCAAACGCTAATGGAGTGTTTTTGCCAGTCCACGCTGGTCATTTGTCAACTCACATTATGTCGTCACTCATTGTCATCCTAACTCCTCTCTTTCATAAGTTTGGTGGAGTTTGAAAAGTGTATGACTGGGGTTTGCATTCATTCTTGATGCTTATTTCAACTTAATTCAGCGGATACGTAGCCCTGAGCAAAGTCGGTAAGTTGAATATTTATTGTTATTCCTTCCACACACAAGTCACGAGTAAGTAGTGAGACAGAGTGAAACTGACTTTGACCCAACATAATGTCGCTTATTACGATGTGTCAACTCATTACGAGCGTAGTCTCTGAGTGTCAACTCACTCAACACGGGATTGGAAGAATTAAAGGATTACTCG